CTCAATACAGTGCAACTTTTTTCCCTTTTCCATAGCTTGTCATAAATTTTTAATAGAATTTTAACTGATGCTACCGATTTCCATACTTGGAAATTCTAGACAGCTAAATTCTTGTAGAAAATCAGAGGAAGAGCAGCTCGAGTGCTGTTTGATGCAGCATTTTCTCCTCTTTCTAATGGGTGTTTTTTGTTTCAGATTCGTTTAGTTTTCGGGAATAAAATCATCACAATTCATTTTTTAAGGAGCCCCAGGCTGTACCCGGAAAACTCAAAATTTGATATTTCGAATCCGTAAACTCTCACTTGCTTTATAAATTCAATATTAAGTCATATATTAGGTCGTTCCGAAAGTTCTTTCCGTTTTTTCAACCTATCATAAAAACACATGGAATGAAGATAGGGAAAAGCTTCAAGCGCTATCCGATGCATTTTTTCCTCCTCTTTTCAACAGTCATATTCCTGTGTCGCTTGCTCTTGTGGTCAGTGAGATAATGGCCGAAATTTCGAACCCGTGGTTTTTACCATGTCCAGCTTTGGTAATTTTTCACAATTTTTTTTGACTATTGGAGAAGCTTCAGTAGCAATCGGATAGAGCAAACAAAGTGCAATTTAATGGAATTTTTTGGAAACTTCAACTGGCTTCTCAGTATTTTTTGAGACAACTTTTTCAGAAGTCTTCACTTTTTTGAAGTCACAAAACACACAAACGCTTCGAACATTAGCAAATCTTCGGATTTTGACACTATCAAAAGTCGTTTATGAGTGTCCACCATTTTTACAAAGTAGCTGAGTGTTTACCGCATCGAAATATAAGATTTCGCGTTTTACGTGCACACCCTCAAACGGGTTCAAAATCAAGAGTTATGGAAATTTTATCGCCAAAAACCCCCCACAAATTAGGAAGAAAAACACCAATAGAAAGAGGAGGAAAAGCTGCATCGAATGACACCTTAGTTGTGCGTCGTTTTATGTTCTATGGTCTTGGCATCACCAAAAGTGGAATTTGATAGCATCAGAAAAATAATTCTAAAAAAATTTTGGGGCTAGCAATAGATGCCAAAAAATTCACTCAAATTGCACTTTGTTTACTCTATCCGACTGTTATTGCAGCTTCTCCAAAAGTCGAAAAAGAAAATTGTGAAAAATTGCCAAAGTTGGACATGGTAAAAAGCATGGGTTCGAAATTTCGGCTATTACCTCACTGACCACAAGAGCAAGCGACACATGAATATGACTGTTGAAAGGAGGAGAAAAAGCTGCGTCGGACAGTGCCTGAAGCGTTTCCCTACCTTCATTCCTCGTGTTTTTATGATAGGTTGAAAAAACGGAAAGAACTTTCGGAACGACCTAATATAATCTTGAAAGCTTGAAATTCCGAGTAACTACTGATGTTTGATGCGATTGTGGCTGAGGTGGGACTGCCAAAATCCGATGGCTTTGTTAAAAAATCTTTTAAAAAATTACGGCGAGCTACGAGAAAGAGAAAAAGGAAGTGCTGTATTCTATGAGGTTTACTCTATCGAATCGTTACTTGAACTCCTTCTGAGGATTGATATGAAAGTTTTAAAAAATCTTGAAACTTGACCATCTCAAAAAGCATGGGTCGCAGATTTTGGTTATTTTCTGAAAGCTCATTGAGTGTTTTGCAACATTTTTAAGACCGTTAGAAAGAGAATGAAATTCTGCATCGAACGCTACCAAGATCTCTCAAAAAGGTTTGTTCCATCGATTGTGGCAACCGTTTGAAAAAAGCGAAAATACTTTCGGGACGACCTAATATTTTTTCTCACACAATTTTTTTGATAAGCCGGCTACGCAGTATGGGGTCGAAGCTCATCAAAAATGTTTTCATAAATGAAACAAACCTGCAATAAATGAATAAGATTTCTTCCTAAAACTATGAGGCATCATCGTTTGCTTGTATTTTGTCGCAGCAATTTTTTAATTACGACAACTTTTCTCAGGTCTGTGTCCATCTCAAGCATTTACGTAATCCTATTCTTTGCTCCCTGCATAAAGAAGGAACTAACGAGAATACTATTTCCTGCAATCTGCACGGTAGCGTACATCCCTATCCGGCTCTATTTACCAACTTGAAGTGAGATTTTTAGCACCGAAAAAACCAGGATAAACAACCAAAAAATGTCGAAGACCAAGAAAATTGTGGAGAATTTTCTCACATTCAATGGAAGTTTGATCACCTTTGCCAGTAAAAAAAGATGTACAACACATATAAAGTATATTACTTTTCAAAAGCTTAATTTTGGCAGAAGTCCTTCGGATATTTCATGATAAACAGGCCTGCAAACTATTTTGAGTCCGCGTGTTGAATAACAAATAGCTATAAGCAAAGGTTTTCATTGGAGAATTAATTACTTCTTCAAAGACATTTATAACATACACAGCAAACTCCTTGTAAAAGAGCAAGGATTGAAACGTTGACTATCACTTATAAGCATTTTCAAGTGATTATTTCTCAAAGTACAAATTAGTTACGAAATAAGCAGTGATGTAGATGAGAGTTTTACTCAAGCCTGTCCTGTATGTGTTAGTGGTTAGATAAGTTAGTTTCTTTGGGACCTTTATAATGGCTGCCAGACAAATTGCTAGATACGCAAAGATTGTAACCTCAGTAAAAGTGATCGCCATGATTGATGTTATTCATCGATAATGCTCTGAAGCTTCACTGCTAGAGTCCCGAAATTCAAGGTTTTCCTGATCCATTCAAAGGGCAAGACTAGATTAGAACATGCTGATAAAAGCGAAACGATTTTCAAATGACGCGTGCAACATCGGTAACTATCATTTTTGGAATGACCTTTTCAAAAATTATAAAAGGACTGAGTTCCTTTACCACTGAAGTTAACTTTATCTTATTGTTACTGTCAACAGTAAGCTTTAAGCGAGAAGGAGCAGAATGCGGAGACAAGTATTCGTGGAGTGTGAAAAATGAAATTATGCTGTAGAAGAAGGCAAATTAGAGGGGAGCAGAAACATTAGAACTCGGTAAACAAGACCAGATCCAGAATTTTGCATTGATGAGATTTTTGATTTCTCAGAGAGTCCGCAAGCACACATGCCGACAGTCTCAACGTTTGATATTAGCACGTTTCTTGAGAGCAAAAAGTGTGAAAAATGAATAATTAGAGAAAGCATTCTGGTGATCCCTACAGGATACAAGCAAACTGGTTGTTAATGCAAAAGCTTTCCATTTCTTTTAATACTTTCTATTTCGAAGCTTCTTTCACGACTGTTGTAGACTGTATCGTATTCCACGCTGCTCGTGATTTTTTTACTTTCTAATGACCAAGATATAGTAAATCATATTGATATCCAGCTATAATTCAGTTATTCTGATGCTATTCAGCTGAAATCAGTGGCTTCACAAAAAACTGTTTCCCCAAAAAAACTAAAGTGGTGATTTGATCATTTTCAAAATTTCACCAAAAAATGATGTGTAAATAGTTGATTTTCTCGGACCCGAATTCGTAATGGCAATACGATTGCGTTAGCTGACTCTGTTATAATGTTCGGAGATAAGTTCTCTCTTACATCAAAAACACAAAATTTCTAATGTGGAAGTTAAGTAAGATGAGCGAGTCAAGAAAAGGAGAAGTCATTGGAAAATATGGGGATAAATGTAGCTACAGCGAGTTTCTTGTCAGGCGTTAAAGTTTTGAAATTTCGCGAAAAAAAGGACTCCAGTAATGAACATGCCTATGAAGGCCGTACTTGCAAGGAGCTACCTGTTAGAGTGTGGTGGTAAATAACGATTACTTGAGAACTCTCAATAAGGTGTTATGTCGATTACGGACACGAACTTGGTGTTCGTAGACGCAGTACTTACTTTTACAATCTTTTTCGTGATACAGACTAACTCAGATACGTAATTCATTCAAATAAACAACAAAAAAGTGTGAAAAACAGAGACTGCAGAATCACAATTTATTATCCAGTCATTCAGCTCATCAAAAGAAACGGACTTCGTCTCCTAGACAGAGTTCGGCACAGGTGGCTTATAAGCAAGCTGGAAATCGTTTTTTAGGCAAGAAGCAAAGAGATATCGTTTTTGTGGCGGAAAAAACCACAGCTTAGGTTACGTTTTTTTAGCCGACGTTTCGTTTTCTAAGGGTTTTTTACGTTTAGAGAGGGTCAAAGGGGACTTCGTAAGATCTTGCGAAAGCCAACGGGGACTTCGTTTGCATTTTCGGAAAGCCACCTAGTGCCGGGCCCTGCTCCTACGTCTTCTCCCTCCAGCAAAAGCCTTGAATATGGAATTCTTGAGGGGGAGGGGTAGTATAGAACTTTTCGCACTCAAAGCGTGTCCCACCAGATTGGGTATACCTGCCTCTGGCAGTAATGTAAAAGTAGGCCCCCTAACTAAGCGACGACAGAAGTTTGCAGCGCGAAAGGGGGTCTACGGCTACAAAACGCCTCCCAAGTGGCCCAGATCTTACGGTAGGCTCGGGCGAGTACGAGATGCGCGCAAGGTAGAGACGCAGAGTCGTTGCGGGACCCTGCGCTCACGAATGTGTGAGCTATGCGTGCTCTCGCCTTGCAGTAGTTTCGGAGCGAAATTCAGGCTCGATAGACCCCCTTCTTCGCTGCGAACTTCAGTCTTCGCTTAGATAAGGGGTCTACTTTAACATCGCCACAAAAACCCGGTACCTATCTTTTTGCCGGGACGCTGCCTTTAATGTTGGGCTATCACATTATCGCTTTGCTAAGGGTTTACTCAAAAGCCAAAGCAAAACCTCGCCATCGCGGGTAAGCAAGTCCTAAAATGTTGTATTCAGATGAAAGCGTATATTTTTCTTTCATCTCTAACATGAGAAGCACTTACATAGGCAAACATGATATAATGTTCTCTTCCCGCAGATGCGAACCCCCTTAGCACGAGTGATGTAACTTTTCTCATTTTTTTTGTTTCTTTCATACATATTAAGATATCGTCAGGATCTTAGCCTTTCACATGCAGACTGGAGACAAGTGACTACATGAGACTACATGATTTATATCTGAGCAAGCAAATACAACCTTTTGCATATTGTTCGTCTAATCTAACAGAACGAAAAACAGGCAGACGCTTGATGGCAGTTTTGACGTTGTAGACATCAGTTTAGAATGCAGAATCACCAGAAATGGCGAAGAATGCAGAATCACCACCAGTGGCGAAGAACCCACGTTGAGTGAGACGAGCACGTTCCTGAGAAAATTTTATTTGAGAAGGAACCTTGATCTGTTAACATTTGCTAAGTGAGATTGAAAAAATGTAATTTTTTACCTGGTTATTGTTGTCGTAAAGGTAGATGGCCAGATCTTCACCTGTTGCGAATGTGCTCTCAGCTTCGCAGACAAGCGAACGGGGTGGATCGTGAATGCCCTTTCCACGGGCATAGACCTACAGTTAATTCAGGGAATTTATTCGAAAATCGTATGTATAGCCTATTTTACGCTCAATATAGTGTTCTTGCTTGCCGACAACATTCTCGCGTGGTTTTTGGCAACGTGGCCTCGCATGATTCTTTTTCACGCGCCACTCGCAAGCAATTTGCCGGCATATGCATGCATGGCATTTGTTTACGCGCAAATGTTGTCGTCAATAGACTATCACATTCTGAGCGTCAATACGACGTTATACTTTTGAACATCGTACCTGGACGGTGCTTTGAGGGGCTAGGATGAATCCACGAGGGAAGGTGTATGAAACTTGCTTCAGGGAGGGGCTTGTGCTGCGGAGCGTCCATTCACCAATGTGCTGGTCAATGTCCAGGGAAGTGTTCTCGATGGTCACATATGATCCGTCTCTAGCCACTCTCTAGAACAATCAGTCTTACCTAAGCTTACAAGTAAAATTTATTCTAAATGAGGGCCCACCCCGATCGTGACATTCCCCTGGGCTGAGCGTTGCATCACTTCAATACCAGCTCTGGGACTCCGCTCATCTCTCAAGGTGTAATCGGCCTTGCTGGTGACAGTTACACCGCCACCGATTCCTCCATTTCGGGATGTGGTTGTGGAGGATGTGTACCTGTAGTCACGGGTTTCGGTAGCTCCACTGATGTCCCTTCTTGTTCCGTAAGGCTCGTACACTCCACCGCCTATGCTAGAGGAGTCTGAAAAAGAAGAAAAGAATACTGATTAGTTTTTACTGAACTGAAATTTACAGCACCCCAGAAAAAAATTTCTCGCACTCTTGTAAACCTGCATGGAGGTGGAGAAACATAATGTCATCGATAAGCTCCGCCTGTGCGGACAGCTGGAGTAGAAACGTAGGAATTGTGTCAGATGTCCGCCCGTACCGTAACTTATCCGGAACAACGTTTTTTAGAGAAACCTACGAGATGTTCGTTGCCCAGCAATGCTGATGGGACCGCCGGGACCGCCAGGACCGCCGGGACCGCCGGGACCGCCGGGACCGCCAGGACCGCCGATGCCGCGATTCTCTGAGGGACCCACACCATCTAGTAGTTCTTTGTATCTCAGGATCTCAGCGCGCAATGTCTACAAAACTTGTGTTCGAAAGATATCTTCAGAAAGCCTGATTATTCTCACCGTCACGGAGTATCTCTTATCTCGTGGAGTACCGGCGACGAGCTCATTGTAGCGTTCGATGAGCTTCCTAAGATTCTCCTCGTCTTCCTTGACGCAAGAGGCGCTAAGCCTCTGCTCTTGGTCTCTGGCTTCTTCGAAATCGGCGATCAAGCTCGTCAGCAGGCGATTCTGCAGTTACACATTACTTTTTTCATTCGTCGCCTCGAGCTGAAGGGACTTACGCGTTCTTCCAGATGATTGAGCCTTGTGCGGACGTCAACCAGTTCTTCGCGTAGTTCAGCAAGTCTCTTCTAAAATCACTAATTTCTTTTCTCGTTACAGTCTGACACCTTGGTCCACCTTGAAAGAAGATGCTTCATCGCGGTGCTTGACATCGATTCCAATCACCTGCTCCTTGTACCATTGTTCCATCTCCGACTTAACAGTGCTGGCAAGCTGTAAAAATCCTCAGTGCTCAAGAAGAAATTTTGCGGATTTGATTTCACTCACTATATCGTATTGCCTACGAATGTCAACCATGGAGGTTTCCAATTCGGCGCGCCAATGTTTTCTGTCTTGTTCGATGTCCTCAGTCGAGTAGCGGGGTACGGGTACTTTAACCTAATAAAGTACGCCTTTTTGGGGCCTGTACTTATTTTGGATTAATAAAGTCTCGCACCTCTTTGTAGGTTTTCAATAGCTCTTCGCATTCCTGGAGCAACGGCTGAGCGCGACGTTCGTAGCTGTAGCGTTCTTGCGTTTCTCTGTCAAACACCTATAAAATGAAATTTGTAAATAAAATCAATTCTATCGTACTCGGAAGCATTTACCTGTCTCTGCGATGCGATATCGTCCACAATCTTCTGGTTCTCTTTTCGGAGCCTTGCGCATTCTTCTTGGATCACTTTTCCGCGTCCTTTGGCTAGGCATAGCTGAAATATTCTACTTACAAGGCGCGTAAATTATACTTGTAATGCTTCCTGCTTCAGTTTTCAACAAGAATTTCTAGAAAAGTCACGGTTTGCTGATCTAATATCAAGTACCGCCATTCTTGGCTAAGTAACAAACACTGTTTAGAAGCATAAATATCGCAACTTGTTCGCACCTGAGCACGAAGATCGCACAATCTGACAAGAAGTGAGTCTTCGGCGGCCATATCACGTCCACGCACGGCTGATTCATATCTGAAATAAAATATATTGTGCAATCATTTTTGACGACGAAGTCTTCCAACTCTTTAAGGATGATAATGTGATATTTTGTAAAATATTACACTATTTGAAATTTCCTAAAATCTTGAAAGCGCACCTCGATCGCGTACTGTTCAGTTCGTCATTGAGCGCAGGAATTTTCTCTGCATCGGCATCATATCGTGACTTCGACTCTACTGTTATCATCGACTGAAAAGATAAACACTGATATGAAATTTTACTATGCTGGATTTAGTAATCTAGCGCTAGTATACATAACCAAGAAGCACTGAGTAAATAGCTTAGCTCTTATGCTTGAAGATAGCCTTGAAATCGTATTAACTGCCATATTGGCCAGACGTCATTTCCCGCAATGTGGTTCATACTTTTTTCTTTCCCACTTACTTGTCTATGAATTAGACTGACCTCAGTCACGTCTGTTCTCTTCCTCGGCGTTCCAGTTTTCATCCATTGCTCCAGACGCAATCTAAGCTTGCGTTGAACTGCTTGAAGGAAACGGACCTGAAAGTCTTATATGACCTGAAGCTGTGGAAGCAATACCTAGGATTCACCTCAGAGATGTAGTCAGCATGTCTGTCATTGAGGACCCCAATTTCTCGATTTTCAGAGATTCGTATCTGGGTGATAGCTGTAAAAAAGCAAATTTGACAGTTCATGTGTTACCATATTATAGGACGAGTTTGCAAGTTATCTTCAGGTTTATTTCTAGTTTCGCAATTATTGCTAATACTTCCAGAATAAACGGATATTTCTCGAAATATCCAAATAGGTTAAAAAGTTGTAGTAAAACTTACTATCCCGGTCTCCTGCACCAGAGCCGACAGACATCCTAAAGACTTTGATTGTTTGAAGATTGTAGGCAAATTGTAGAAAATAACGAGTGAGAAGACTGAGAAAAGTTCATAATAGATGAGAGAGACATTGATTGGAGGAAAATGAGTGGGGTGATATGGATTTATTGGCAAACGACTGATGGATTTTCTCTTAGGTCAAAACGAAACGTGAGAGGTGATCAAGATGGAATTACTCCGCAAGTCAGAATGCTAGTATTTTCTTTTATGTCCACAATACATCAAAGTTTCTTTAATAATCTTACTTAAAGCAGTCTAAACCCTCTTAGTGAGCTTTAGGTCATGCGCCTCAAGGTCTGTTGCCAACTATAGTACCCTATAGGGAATTGGTGAAGTGAAGTTACAGTAATACATCTAGTCTTAGGAAACCGAAGGTTATCAAAGCATAGCATATTTTTGACTAATCAACAGTGGAATTATAGAAGCTGAAATCTATCAAAAGATAGTACTTCTGAATGAGACACGTACTCCACACTAGGGCTTGCTTCCTTATCAAGAATTTCATTCAGACGATTTATTGCGGCAAAAACTGTTAGTTTTTTTGCTGCTATATTTTATTGCAAGACAACAATGACCATATTCTGAGAAATTTACTGAGAATTTGCACGAGTGAGAACATTTATGAATTTGATATTCTTGGGATCAGGCGATGAATGCAGAGCTAGAGTGTTGGAATAGCCGGAGAGTAATCCTAGAGGGCAACATCTGATGATGTCATTTTTGACTAGTCATTCAACAAATAAAGGTAATTGTCCCTTTTTGGTATTAAACGACTTTTCCACAAAATGTAAACAATGTTTCGCGATGCCAGAATTTGCTTTCTGAAAGTAAACACCTTTGAGATTTCAGATCTACATTTTTTCGCTTTGTTTTGACAAAATTGAAGGAGAAGAAGCCCTATGGCACAGCAATCGTAGAAATGCATGCGACATGGAAACGCTCGGAAACGCTCAAGTTTTATTGCCATTCTTCGTCAGCAGCAAGCGCAAAGATAATGGTGTTTGATAAATTAGCTATAGTCAATAGTTAAGCTAATTCAGTTCAAATAAGGTCTTGGTAAGGACTGGGTAGGAGCTGCATGTTGTAAAACTTGTCAGGTCGTTTTTGTAGGAAGTGTGGGTAAGGTAAACGTATGGTATGCATGTCTTACTGTAACAGTATGGGACCACTTTGAGGGAGATGGCTTCATATGGAATTTATTTTGCTTGCAGAAATGATAGAGACAATTTACGTGAGATTTTACTTTACTAATTCTTACTACAAGCTTTTGCACTACAGTCAGTCATCCAACTTGTAACTGAAACGCTAAATTCTTATGCTAGTTCCATAAAATGTCTCTCAGCTAAAACTTTAAGCCAACCCAATACCAGGACAGAAGAGCAAGTAAAGCCGGTACACGGAGTTGAGAAAATCACTGCGAATGATCTGAGCAGCGATTTTTATCGGGGCGTGCGCTTCTTCGCAACAGTCAAATCACCTTATCTGCTTTTAACGACCAACTTAGGCACGATAACACGTTTCGAAGCCAACTCTTCGTCTATTATTACGATAAGCAAAAAATTCCTGCATAGAATATTGCAAGCTTAAATCCAATATATTGTGCTACAAGTTGTTGCTACACGGTAGAGGTACTGTGTAAGGTAATTGTGCCACTGCACACGACACTCATAGTGCGCGTAAAAACTGGGATCATGACGAGTAGAAATTATTAGGTCGTTTCATAAATTTGTAGTTTTTATAAACCAACGAAATGACAAGATTTTAACAAAATTCAGTCAACAATGTATGTTCAGATATTGCGCACAACCTTCTACCACCATGCCATCAGATACTCATTTCCGTTTTTCCAAAACTCAGGGGGTCCGGTCCCAAAAAGGTCGTCTAATCAGCGCCTGTGATCTTCTTCAAAATCAAAACAGACGCCGTTCATATGATTTATGATAGACTGAAACAAATGACAATATACTAGAACGAATCTCAGGAGTATTGGATCCTAATGTACCAGCCGGTCAAGTCTTTCAGGACAGCTATGACGACGGTTCCCTTAGGCTAAGGGCATACCTCACGCGATTTCAGTCGCCACGCGATCTGGCAATTTGCCAGATGTCTTCAAGTTCAATACTGGTAGACCCCAAATGCACAGCATGTATAACTTTCGTAGGTTGATAAAATGCTCCATCTTCCGTACATTCAGAAACCCTGGGTGAGTTATGAACATTTGGAGTATTGCCAAATCGCATGGCGACTGAAATCGCGTGAGGTATGCCCGAGGCCATAGGGGACCAATTTTTATCGCGCAAAAAAGCTCACTGGACCTCTTTATTAGGCTTTTTGTGCAGCAGGGATTAGTTAAGACTTGCGGTCGGTTGCATATGGCATGGACGACCGTCTTTTTGTTCCTAGCAATATTCAGTGCGGAACGTCCTACCCATCCCGCAAAAAGTCCTGTTCAAGTGACACTCTGCAAACTCTTTGTTTTTAAAGCAATCCAATCTCTTTTTTTGTCTCACTTTGACGAGAAAAGCCTCCTAAGCCTTCTTCCATAATCGGCAAGAAAATCCAAGCAGACGCTCTTTTTTTATAAGAAAAAAGAGCAAGTACCGAGAATGCTTCTTCTTGCCTTTGAAGCAGATGGGCTTTTCATAGAAAATAATTAGTCTGTCCTGAATGGCATGATCAGCTCTTCTCGACGATATGCACATCTTGCCGCAAACCAGCCATTCCTCAAAGAAATGAGAATGAGAATGAAAACTCTACGAACTTATGAAACGACCTAATATATCTCAGTTTAGTTTAGTATATTTTTCTCAAAATTAACCTTCCCAGGCATTAATGAAAAGGAATGAAAGGATAAGGAAGTTGGCAAGGTTTTCTAGACAAAGTATGCACACCGCCTAAGAAAAACCAGTTTTTGACGTGCAATGTGCATATTTCGTGCAAATTGCGCATAAATAGCAATGATACGCGACTTGATGTGTCGTCGAGAAAGCATTCAACTTTACATATGTCCATATCTTGATCATTTCCTGGAATAATATTTGATAATTATTTTCATACTTGGTGATATTCAGTTACTTCTTGCGCCAAGTGCGTATTGGTTTTCTTTTTTTTATGAAGGTAAATGATGATGTGAGGATAGAACTGCATAGAGTTCCTACCGTACCATCTCAATTTTATTTTTGTTTCAAAGTCCAGAGATCAGTAAGATCAACTATCAAAATTTTTCGCGAAAGAAGTATTCACTTTCACCATGATCGATAATCTTTATTTTTTCATGTCTGCAGAGTTGTAGAATCTCAGTTTGAGTAAATATTAGGTTGAACCGAAAGTTCGTTCGCACCATTTTCAAAAAATCATAACTTCTTTCCGTCACGACGATTTTGCGCAAATTAAATTTTTTTAGAAAGATTAAAGCATGCAGTTTCTAACAATCCTTTATGGACTTTCCAGCATGTTCAGATTGCAGAGATAAAAATGAAAGAACGAAAACATCCGAAATTCGGAATTTTTGAGAAAAGATTCTAAAAATCCAGAAACTGCGCGATAAAATCCGGAAAAGCCATTATCCTAATTTTTCTTACATTTGATTACTAACTGAGTTAAGTTTGTGCTGATCGAGCTCTTCTTTCAAAAGTTATGATTTTTTGAAAAAAATTCCGAAAAATCACTTTACTAAGAATTCCTAAGAAATTGATTTTTCGGCATTTTTTTTCAAAAAATCATAACTTTTGAAAGAAGAGCTCGATCAACACAAACTTAACTCAGTTATTAATCAAATATAAGAAAAATTAGGATAATGGCTTTTCTGGATTTTATCGCGCAGTTTCTAGATTTTTGGAATTGTTTCTCAAAAATTCCGAATTTCGGATGTTTTCGTTCTTTCATTTTTATCTCTGCAATCTAAACATGCTGGAAAGGCCCCAGAAAACCATTGGAAACTACATGCTTTACGCTTTCTAATAAAATTTGAATTGCGCAAAATCATTGTAAGGGAAGGAAGTTATGATTTTTTGAATATGGTGCGAACGAACTTTCGGACCAACCTAATACAATGAGTAAAATTTGCAGACATTTTTTTGTGACTTTCTAATGAAGCCACCGTTATCGCAGAAGAGGAATTATACGTGCCATCTCTAAATCCAATGAATTTAGTTTTTTTTCCTTCAGCAAACAAAAACAAAACTCTCATACCAACGCAAATACCAAATGCTTTTTTTACGACAATAGTGAGTATGGCGCCGAAATGCTTATCTCTTTCACTGAGGTGGCATCGTAAGCTGTTTCATATTGTCAGTTTTTCTGCTATCAGCAAATGGATGCATAAATGCTGTCACGTAGAATTAGATTAATGGCAATGTAAGATAGATTTGCATATTTTTCTGATGAGAAACTAGCAAGCTACCTTTGATTGGGCCAATAAAATTTTCGGAGAATAGGTACATAGATTATGAGAGAAGTCATAAAATAAATGGCCTCAATATTTAGAAAACCTTTCAAAAACTCAACGAACTAAAGATAGCAAGGATTTTTTACTAAGAAGTCAGATATTGAATTTGTTTTATTAGTTGCTATGCTCTAACTATCACGTTGTCCCATAAGTTCCGTCCGCTTCGAATTTCAATCGCAATAAGTCATAAACTTCTAATTTCTAGATAGTTTCGAAGATACCATTTGATAGAGCAAAGCAAGCTTCAGAAGATGCTTTTCCTGCTTTCGCACCAGTTCAAATCACTCTTGAATTTGAAGCCAACAACTAGAAGGATTCCACCCGCAAAAAAAGAGGAAAAAATCGTAACTCCGTCCAAAAAACTTCTAGAAATTTTCTAACTTGCTCACGAGTATAATATCCACATCAGACATTTATATACATCGTTGCTGTACCTCTTCCTTGGATAGTAATCAAGAAAACGAAAGTTTTCTTGCTTTGAAAGCGATGCTGTGCTGTCTCCGCATAATTAAATGGATACTATGGACCTGTGCAAGCACAAACGTAACTTTCGGCTCTCTACAAGCTTTAACTTCGAGAAATATTGGATACCTTCTCACAAGGAATGCATGTTTAGTTGAAGAGGGCCTTTTTAGATGGGGTGTATACCGTATTGCAGGGCAAAAAATGCTGATTCAAACTGCTTTCCTTGTCTGCAAAACATTTTTGACAAAGAGTTATGCGCTTATTGGAGCAAAAACGTGAATGTGCAAGTAGGACAAAAATAGCCGTAATCCTTTTTCTAGCCCTTCATTGGAGTAGTGATAACCATCAGAGCACTTTATTTAAAAAAGGCTCTAAATCAAAAATTCGACCACACTTGCTTGTACAGGGTGTCCCAGAAAAATGTGAACACTGTTCGGTCGTTAATGACTCCGTTGCCTTCATGTCTTTCACCGAGCTTGATGCACCTTCTATAGGGCGAGGTTCGACTTAGATCTGCAGTCTGGAGCGAATCATCGATCGCTTTTCATTACTGTGGGATTACGGTATGAACTTCTAGCATGTGGGATCTATTGTGAAATATGCCATTTGATAAAAAAAATTCGAAAAATCTGAAAAATTGTGTACTAGGGTTTTTCCACATGCTGATTCCATTACACAAGTTTTAACGAGTGTTTTCAGCTTTTTTGACGGTGTAATAACATTTCTGACAGATGCTGCAAATTCAGTTATTACGGCTTTACTGAAAACCTTGAAAAGAAGCATCGCAGTAAAGGGGAAATTTCATATTCGAAATCAGCGGCTTCCGTTGCCATAGTAGAAGAGTTTTTGGCGTGTTTGGTCTTGCTCGAAAGCACAATATGGCCTCTAATGGCCTAAAATCCTTGTTGAAGTTCCTGCCGTAATCCTACAGTAATGAAAAGCGATCGATGACTAGCTCTATACTGCAGATCTAAGTTGAACCTCGCTCTATAGAATGATGCATCGCTCGGCGAAAGACATGAAAGCAAGGGAGTTATTAATGATCAAACAGTGCTCGCATTTTTCGGGACACCCTTATTTGAGGGCTAGTAAGATTTTAGCAACTCATTCTATCCAAAATGCACATTTAATTTTGACTCCAAAAAAACGCTCATAACTTCTGGTCCATAAACGTTTTGCAGATAAGGAAGGCAGATTTGGAATCAGCGTTTTATGCCCACCAATATGATAAACATCTCATTCAGAAAGTCCACTTTGACTAAACAAGCTTCCCTTGCGTCGGATGACTTACGCTTAAATCCACATTTTTCAAAAACAAAGCTTATGAAGAGCTGAAAATTTAGTTTTCACTTCTACAGATTTGTAGTATACAATTACCCATGTGGTGACAGCACAGCGTCACTTTGGCAAAAGCATCAAAATCCTTGTTTTCTTGATTTCTAACCGAGGAAAAAATACGGCAACGGGTATATGAATGCCTATATGGGCAGTACAGGGTGTCCCAAAAGTCTCGTAGCCTAATTTTGCATCGCTATAACTTATGAATCACCTGTAGTTTCGATTCCATATTTATGCCACAGAATGCTGCAATCATCTCTTACAAAATACATTTTTGCAAGGCCGGTGATTTCCACACGTTTTAATAAAAAAATTTTATTTTATCATGACTTTCTGAAAGTCGCAAAAATCTATTTTCTCGGGCTTACAATTTATTCCGCAGCTTGACGTATCTGGAACATTCTGGTACAATTTCAGTTTCACATTGTAGAGGAGGCTTTGCACCATTATCATTATTACTACAGTAGCTGCACTCAAAAATCTATTCAATATCGATACAGGCTGGAAAAGTTTGGAAATTTGGTGCGTACCACGGCCACTATGTCTTTAAAGTCCATTTTGAATCTGTGGGGCTAAAGCAGTCACTGGATCGTAAGTATTATTCTCTCCATATGACTTCTAGATGGAATTTTAGTCCGACCTGGGAGAGGAACTAGGTTTCAACCCACTTCGTAGCCGATTTTCTGTTTTGGTTTCCTGCAAGTGTGCTCAAAATCTCCAGCGTGAGGTCTACGCATGCCTGCATTAAGATTCCTATAATTTCAATTCTAAATTTTACAAAAAATTTTCTTCGAAGTGAGTTGTAGCTGGGAGCTTGCTCTATCATGCCGCACACTTTCTAAGCGATAGGAACTATTCCCGTAAAGGCGCGGGACTAATTTGATAATGAATACGTGCGTGCCGCGGCAGTAATAATCGCCAACATTTTGAAGGCTTCCGTTAACAAGAAAAATTTGCTTTCACAAAACGTATTGTGTTGTATATGTTATTGTTTGAGTAATGTATGCTCCAAATTTTACACCTCTACGTTGTTCCGTAACGTTTTTATCAGGTAAAATGCTAGGTTACAAGACTTTTGGGACATCCTGTATAGGTGAGCAAGTTAGAAATTTTGTAGGATGATTTTTTGAACGGAGTCACGATTTTTCTCATTTTTCGGGTAGTTGAGTCTTTTCGGTTTTTGGCTTAAAGCTCGAAATGGATCAGAGCTGACGCAAAAGCAACATTTCCATATTGTAGAGCTTACATACTTTGCTGTATCGAATGGTACTTTACAACCTATTTAGAAATAGGAAGTATATGATTTATAGCGGTTGAAATTCAAGACGGACGGAACTTATGGGACAACCTATTACCAAATAGTCAGATATTGAACTTATTTCACCACCTCCTTTGCTCTGGCCATTGAGTTTGTAATGCAAAACACATTTTTAGCAACTCAATAATTTTCTACTCTTGGAACTGCGTGCACAAGAATATTTTAGACTCCTATTGGAGCAGCACGAATTGTTCTATAGTGGTATATGCTGCTTCATTCTTGGCAACTAGCCAATTTTATCCACATTTCTCGCACTTCAGGCAATTTACAAGTTGCCCGTTATGTTTACTAATTTGTGTGTATTTGGTTTCGGGCCTGAAGCTCTGATTTTGTTGGCATTATTAACCATCAAATCCTTGGCAAAAGTATCTCGACAGAGTTGCAATTTTGAACAGATTTGTAATGTCTATTACAGAGTTATCCTGGTATACATACTCAAAATATTTATTCGATCACTTTCCAAAAAAATAGTTCTATGAAAATTCTTTGCCAGAAGTAACTATACAAATGTCACTCAATCAATGCAAAAGAATGTTAAAGATAGTCACTCCAGGCATTCAAAACTCTGTAATAAATCTTAAGCGTTAATCACAATTGCGATCTTCTCTCCACCGATACAAAAAAAAAATACAAAAAATGTTAGTCGAAAGCAAAATGGCAAGCTTAGGATTCAAAATATGTAAGTACGTAAAGAGCAGAGTACTGTAATTGTGCCTCTGATCATCCTTTATTCATATAAGTTCTCAGTTCAGAGCAAGTGATTGTGGTATGAAAGGCAAAATGGCAGAATAGCTTGACTTGTGATATTCGACTTTCGTTGTTCTCTTTAGGGAGATTTGAGGTGGCTATTTTTCATGGGAAAAAAACGAGATTTTTGTGGAATTGGCAGGCTGGAAGATAAATAACCGTAAGGAAAGGCAGTGAAACTTTTTGATATGGTCTTGGAAGCTGTGCGCCGAATGCGCACTGTTTTAGATCTGAAAAAGAAAACTATTCGTCTCAGTTTTTCATCGAAGGAGCTAGCGGATGCGCTGCTCAACGAGAACAACGACAGCAATGCATAGATTTATTGAATCTAACTTGTTAACTGAACTGATAATATTGACCGGGGGCAGTCGGACTAATGGAAATGGGCGAAAGCGGACGCGGAATGTGAATACGGAACGCTAGCTAGATGCGTACTGTGAACTAGCGTTACGAGTCCGACTCCTCACACGTGAGAGGATTGCCAGGGCACATAGAAATCCGCGTGAATGAGGGAGGGTGAGAAGAATGTCGGGGCCAAGTGGAGTTCGGAACTATTAACACATAATGATGGTGATCACACACTAATGGGAAGCATTACGGTGCTTGCTGGCAGTCACAGGAGGCGTTGTGCGTTAATAGTTTATACAAACGATGATAAAAAAAACTACACCGAAAGAAGCAATGGGTAATTCGCAGTGTTCAGGTTTGTTTTTGACACATATACTGATGTATTTGAATAATAGGCTACGAAGCATTGGCATTGAGCAGAACAGGCATTTATGGCAGGGAGTCACTGGATGAGCTAGTTCAGAGGATGCGATGCTCGACACGGGCTCGTTCCTGTAAAGCGGAAAGCTTATTCCGCGCAGGACCTTCACCCTTTGTCACTTACTTGACCATCATCGTTGTAGAGGTAGGTACGGACTTCGCCTCCGGTCGCAAATGAATCCTCAGTCTCAAACACTAGTGAGTGTGGTGGAGCATGGATGCCTTTTCCTCGGGCGTATACCTGTAATGCGCGCAGTTGTCTCCTCTCACTTACCGTATACCTACAGCACGTGTTACTTACCGTGACCTTCGATCTCGGTGTCAACACGAATCCTCGAGGGAACGTGAAGCTAACGTCACGTCCTCCACCAAAGCTACGCAATCTCCACTGGCCGATCATTTCATCGTGCGAAACCGATGTGTTCTCTACAGTAATGGATGAGCCATCAGGTGCAACATCCTGCAAATTTAAGATTTTCGTGGATTAGTTCACGACATATAGCTCTAAAAATTATGTGTTTTATTATTGAGAAATTGTGCTGAAAAAAAAACATTTTTCGCAATTTCGACTGTACAATCTCGCTTCCGATTAAGATCATTCGTGTCTGTGCGAAAGGCCAGACGGTTAGTGGAATGAGAGTGCGTTCAGTCTGAGAGACGCAGACGGCGTCCGCATTCGCGCCCTTTCTCTGCGTGCGATGAACCGCCTTCAGTATAATAACTTACAAGGATGGATACGTTTCCTTGAGCAGATTTCTGAGAATCTGAGCGATTTGTTGATCCAATCACACGACGTGATGCGCTAGAGCTTACAATTCCTAGGAAGAGGAATTTCAGGAAAAGATCAAGAATGGTGAATTTTCCAATCAAAGCCTACTTGATGTTGCTGATGTGGCAGTGTCGAAAGCATGGCTAGCAGTTGAGATGACTCGTCCATGAGTTCTATTTTCCTCACCCTCCAGTAATTGACGGTATTTGCTGATCTCGGCATCGAGATTCTCAAAGTAGTTAATCATAGATCATGCTGACTTCATTAAGGTGTGGAAGGGTAATAATCATACTCACAACTTTTTCAACGATGAGTTTCTCAAGTTCCACAGTGATAGCCTGGCACTGTGCACGAACAGCACGAATTTCGTCGTCTTTCTCGCTAAGATGTGCCATGGTTACACGGCTTTCATCTTCGATCTGGTAGTTGAGATCCTGGATGAGCTTCTCGAGGATGTGATTCTGTAGATAATGTGCTCCGATGCTAATTAATCACTAAAATTTCCATAAACTTACGCGTCCTTCGAGATTAGCCAAGTTGGTGCGCATTTCAGTAAGCTGAGAGCGCAGCTGCTTCACCTTTTCCTAAATTCACAGACCATCTTACTGGTCCCATAAAGATTATAAGGGTCCTTACTTTTGTGGTGCTGGCATCTGCTGCCAAGCGGCTGCTGGTACGGATCTCAATGACCTGCTTGGAGTACCATGACTCCATTTCACTACGGAACTTGGATGTATCCTGGAACGAAGAGGTGCTGTATACTGTAGCTGAAGAGACGGTATACAAACCTCATCGTAGAGCTTGCGAATTTCAGCGATAGCTTCCAATAGTCCTTGCCGGAAGATTGCACGATTCTCTTCGGTTGTATCTTGGTATTTATACTTATCCAGCTTCTGAAATAGAGATAAGCTAAACCTTGTAAGAAAGAAGGGGCGGAGAGGGAGCAAGAAATTTCTTATTTTACTTACAACGTTATTGCTGCTGGCAATCAATTTGCACTCATCAATAAGAGCCTGAGCCTGGTGCTCGTAGTTCATCCTCTGGAGTGACTCTTTCTCGAGCAGCTAAACAAACTATTTTTTAACGAATTCTATTTTTTTAAATAAACCAACCTGGCGCTGTGCAGCAAGGTCTGAGCTAAGTTTCAGATTTTCAGCGCGAATACGCTTACATTCTTCATCAATCACTGCATTACGTCTCTTCGTCATACATATCTATAAAACATCTCTTACTTGGTCCAAAGTGGATATGGGTACGGTATATAACCTGAGACTCTTACCTGAGCTTGTAGGTCGCAAAGCTTTACTATCAAATCGTCCTCGTTCCCTAGATTTCGGGCTTTTACGGCGGCATCGTACCTGAATATGACACCTTACTTCGACTAAAAACTCGGTGATGCACCATGTGCCTCACAGGTCGGAAACTTCTCAACGAGCTATTCTAGGCCTCAAAATCCATACCTGTTTCTGATGTCAGTCAGATCTGCAGTAAGGCCTCGAACTTCTTTTTCTGTGTTACCATAATCTCTCTTAGCATCGGCGATGATCGCTTGCGATTGCTTAAAAAATGTAGATCAAAAAAATGATCGGTTAATTGTCGGACCCTTAGGGTTTGTATGTAACTGACCGCGATCTCCTTTTCGTACATCATACGAATTCCGGGTGCGTGCTTACCCTTCGTCAACCTCTCCAGGTCATGATTGAGTTTTCGATTTTGTGCTTCCAGGAAACGTACCTAGAAGTAGCTATTACAGTTTTTTCTTGATATTTATTTTTTAAGCTGTATTGACCTGCTCGATATAAGCTGCTAGTCGATCGTTCAGTCCTCTCATCTCCCTCTTCTCCCTTTCGCGAATTTCCCGGATTTCTCCGGCAGTCACGCTGCTGCCAGCTGAACATTTTTCATTATTCAACTATTCATACGATATTCCAAAATTATTAACTCACAGATGAATTCGCTTGTACCGGTGTGCGCCATGCTGAAAAAATCATAGTTTATTATTATACGTGAGCCACATAGATAGCATGAAAAAGATTGAAGAAAAAGAGCGAAGAAAAACGCAGCTAACTGTCCATGAAATTCTACTAGTACGTTGATATAATGACATTCAAGTCCTTATTCCATGAGTACAAGTTTTTCTTATGCTAGAAAACATTGTAGCTGCAAAAAGCATTATAATCCTCTTTGCATCACTATCTTTAAGGTATATCTTGGAATTTATAACAGTCCCCACGCCATTACTACTACTATCGAGCTGTCATACAGTTTTTGCACGGCTACAAGTCATACGTCACAAAATTCTTGACACTGTTTGTTCAGGGGGCTGTTATTATTCTAGCATAGTATTTTTGGAATAAAAAATAAGTACATATCTGCAATGCATGTGCAAAACAATCCCTGGAGGACCTCTCAGCTCGCAAAGTGCGTGTACTAGGTTTTGATAATTTCTACAATATATTAGACAAGTCCTTTAGCTTTGTTATAATCTTAAGCTGATAAAGGAAGTTAAGGACTTGCTCTGTTTCCTGTTCGAAAATCGCATAGACAGAATTCTGAACTTTCATCACTGGGCACGGAATTTTTTTGAGCACAAAATCGCACACAAAACAGGCATAAGAGTCTTTGAATTGGCAAACACAAGACGTAGTGTTGCGGTTAGAAATGATTGGAAATGTGGGATTGTTATCAGAGAGCAAACAGAAACAGATAGCGCTTCGACACATCGTCGTGGATGCCGAGCCGATAGCAAGGCAACATTGCCGGGCTGTGAGTTCACGCCATTCGGCGACGACTACATTCAGTCGAAGCGCGTATCCGTGGCTCGGATGCCGAATCCACTCTATCCAGTGGATTTTTTGTTTGCAAAATTGATCCGTCTGGAGGGGGGGGGGGGTCGATGATGCCACTATATGGAGCTGTATGTACTAGAGCACTGTGTGTCGGCAGTGTGTGAAAGCCACACAGCCACGATGCCGCTGCGGTCCCCATTCAAATGCGCCCCAACTTATGCAAATCACATCACGGAGACTAGTACACGGAGTTGAGCCGATCATCGGAAAAAATCTCGTTTGTCTCGCGATCACAAAGAGTAGCAGTCAAAAACAAAATAAAAGTTTTGAGCTTTGAGCGAAGGTCGTGCTGAGGCCCTGGGCGCAAGTCAAACTTTTTTCTGAGCACCCCTCTTTGATAAAATAAAGGATCGTGCGTCTAATGAACATGAGTCAGCCGCAATAATTCACCTATGAAATTGTGCTCGACAATCTCGACAATTTCGGCAATTCGGAGATTCCTTTCCCATGAGCTTCCCATACTATACAATCGAAACTTTCAGAAAAAAAGACAAAAATTTGATAAAAATTCGATCATATGCGTCTTTGTCTTGTGAGGGCGGGATGCAATCTAATATATGAAGAATTGCAACGCCGATTCAAAAAACATCAAATGGCGGGAAACCGCGCGGGTCCCGAAGCGAACGCCCCCAGATCTAGCACCTTTAGATTACTGGTTCACTAGTCTGAAGTAAAGACAATATTAGCGGTATTCCCTGATTCGCTGTGGCCTTATTTTTCTAATAAACCATGAATATTTCTACAAGATAACAATGCACTTGTTGATAAGAAATATCGGAATGATAGTCCATTTCCAAGATACCTATGACAATTTCATATCCCTGGAAATTTTCACGTAGTTAGCAACCCCTGCCCGCATATTCTTGACTTTTGCTCTTGATTCTTCACTCCAAGCATGCCCATTCTAGTGTTTACTATTCCATGCGATGAGAAGTTTCATCGCTCAAAAAGGTCTTCGCCCCTATTTTCGTTCGCTTAGTAAATATTTGAAACTCACCCGCTTGATGATTGCGGAGTTCTGCCGCCGAACCCGCTTCGCCTAAATGCACATCATAGATTTGTAATTTCAAAAAAAAATTATCAACGTTACTCACTTTGAATAGTGATGGTGCTCTTCCGTGTACAGGGATGGCATATCCTAGAAGGATAGTATTATTAATTTTGCCTGACTAATGAAACACTATGAATGAGAAGTAACCAAGAGTTTAATAAGGGGTGGCGCGTGCGAAAAAACCACAAATGACTGCGGTGGTTTTATCAGCAGCTTTACATTCTATACGACACCAATGTTGTCTCGTGGAAATGTTATCAGCTAGCTTTGCGAGAAATGAAGTGATAATGCGGGAAAGTGAAACATTTTTATGAATGAGCCGCAAGTTTTATGGCTTTTAGGCGGCAGACTCTCAGGTAAATAGGGGTAAGAAGAGGCTAGAAGTACTGTATAGCTAGACCACACACTGGGTGGTCTTCATTTGACTTGATACCTTTACCCAATCACCAAATTTATAGCTACACCCTGTGAAATTAATATTCATTCGGCTAGGAAAAAAAGCGAGTTAATCCGATTAATTCTGCAAAATTTTGCCCCCCTACCGCAGACCGGTGAGCGGGACCACAGCAACCACGCATTTTGAATAATTCGCATTATATCTGCTTTCAGAATGAACTTTTTGTACTATGATAGACTGCATATAAGAGTGTTGCATTCCATCGGAGACGAGGAAAATCAGAGTGGAAGTAAAATTTAGCCAGCTGAGGACGTATTTTAACTTGCAGATTCAGGCACCGGGTGTAGAAAAGCGGATACACAATCTACGTTTGCGTTTGTTCAATGTTCGTGAGAAAAACTCTGCAAATTTGTTTGCTCTACCTCGAAATTTTGCTTAGATTTAGTGCACTTTATTGTGCGGATCGGGGGCAAAACGCTCATGCAATTTCGCCATTGAAAAAAGCAATGTTCAAAATTCTACGCAATGCATAAACTTCGTGCAGATGCAGTGCATAAGTGTACTATCGCCCCTTTCGGTTCTATTAATTTTTTGCAGATAGAGGGGTAAAAGTCCAAAAGAATCGAATGAACTCACTGTCACCGCACGTAGAGGAGGAACAGGCGTAGAAGCAGGTGTCCTGGTGGTATCTTCCATTTTGCCGGTCCTCTTGTAGGTTTCGGTTGTTTCGGTCATTTCAGATCTTTCAGTTCTCTCACTTCTCTCTAGCGTCTCACGGAAATCTCTCGGTGGCTTTTCTGGCTGTTTCCTTTCTTCCTTATACTCTTCCTTGGCGATTTCTATCGTACTCTTCACAGCTCTTGGAGGAGTTGGCGAATGCGGTTTCGGCACCACAACTCGAGGGAATGTTCTCACGCTTTCTGTCGTCATCGTCTCCATAGTCACGTCTTCTTTTCCCACAGTTTCGACTTTCTCGACGGGAACGACTCTTTCTCGTTCGGCTTTGCGACGTCTGTACTCTTCTTCGGATTCTTCACGACGGACCTCCCTTGTTTCGGTGTACGGATAGCCTCTACTCACCTCTTCGGTGAGAGTTTCGCGCAGGCCATTGTACGGAGGCACTCTAGTGACCTCTTCCCTCGTAATCTCTCTTCTTCCTCGGTATGGTTGGTCCCGATCCGATCCAGACAGCTTTCTCGTTCTCTGTGTTGTGATTGATTCGGTATAGGTCTTTCGTGATGGGAGTAAATCGCTTTTTGGAATGTATACTTCCTGAAAATACATTTATCAGCTGTCCCGCCAAACATTCTCTTCGTTCCTTACGTACCCTTTCCGGTAGAGTCGCTCTTTCAGTTTTGGTGATTTCCTCGACCTCCTTGTAATAAGGACGTCTGTCAGGTGTTTTGCGCCCCTCTGAACACCAATATTTTCTCTAAACGTTAAAAAAACAGAACGCATACCTTCAATTCTGCTCTCAAACTGCTCGACTACACTTCTTACAGGAGTTGCTCCACGAATTTCTTCAATTTCATGTTCACGATGCTGATCTGTGGGCGATGTACGTTCGGTTCGAGACGAGAACACTGTGTGGCCATTGACTGTCTCCTAAAAGATTACTAATTTATGGACAAAGAATTAAATTAGTTGTGCAGTATGGGACAATTGAGGTATGTACCCTTTTGGTTTCTCTTGTTTCTCTTGTCTCTCTCTTTTCGGTTGGAATGACAACTTCTCTAGGTTTGGTGTAGCCTTCTTTCTTCGGACCTCCGTATGATTTCACAGAACGGTACTGCTCCTCGAGCTGGAAGATTTTCTCTAGTCTCAGAAACTTCACAGAAAAGTTTCCAAGTTTTCTTACTTGATATCTTTCTTCAACGTAATGAGGCTGGACTGTACGGAATGATGGAGGTTCAATATCCACCACCGTAGTAGACAGTACGCCTTTCTGATCGGATGGCGAGTACGAGGGCCGTTCGATGCGACGAACCTTTGATTCATCGGACGAGTAGACGAATTCTATAACGAGGAAAGAAAGCATTGTTGACAGAGATTTCGAAACTATTGAATGAGTGAATTGATGCCAAAAAAGCACACACCTGGCCCAGGTTTCGATATGACTACAACTCTAGGAGGAGCTTTCGGTGTGGTTCTTCCTGTATCTCCGCTATCACTGCGAGAACTGCGCTCGAATCGCTGAGCTAGTTCAGTCACTCCAGGCATATCTGAGGATACGCTACGACCGTGGCTGAAATTTAAAAAAATTTAAATAGGGCTAAGATTTTGTGAAATTTATGCTAAGCTAGAGGAAATAAATCAGGTTTTTTTCTTTTGGAAAATTTTTCTGGAAAAAGCTGAAAGAAAAGGTGGAATATTTGAACGAGCATAATTTTGTTATTTTTTGATTTTTTGTGGGAGGCAAGATGGACGTTGTAAATGAGTGTGATTTAGTTTTTTATGCGTTTACATTTTTAAGGAATGAGAGAGGTAAAGCTCCTTTGTAAATTCGTTGACTTCCAAGAAATCTTATAACTATCCAAAACAATGATAGAACTTTTGTAATATTCTAGAAAAAAGTTAATGTAAAATGTTTGGCATGAATAACATTGTAAGAAACTCTCACAAAGAACAACAACTTGGTCTTGCTATTTCCCGGTTCAACACTTTACAGTTGTGCTTGTGTTTAAAAAACCAGAAACCGGTATATCTATCACTTGCAACATTCCAAAAAATATTCACAACTATCGATTTCATAACACATAATACGTTCTGAAGACAGTTGAAATATGACAGTAATTTTCTCGTTCTATTGCATAACTGGAAAAAGGAAATATCGACTGAATATGAGAAAAATAGACAGGCGAAATGGATTTATTGTACAAGACTTTGCAGCTAGCAAAAGGGTTCAATGATAGTTTTTTCTTGATCCTCAAAAAATTTTATAAATAAAAAAACACAAAAATCTTTCTTCATTCGATATTGCTAGCAGTAATTCACAACTCTACGCATATTCGTGAAAGGCGTTTCTAATATCAGATAAGAGCGGTTGAAAACGTCTAGATCGCGCAAAGAGAAATGCTCTCAAGAATAAAAACCTGAATTTCTTTCCTATATGAGCTAAGAGCCGCAGCAAAAGCTGCTCAACATGAAAAAGGCCACCCTTAGCATGCCGTCCGAAATGCTCTCGAAATACACTGTGATGATTGATTCGATTCGTACGTTTCGGTGCAAACCGCAATAGGGGCAAAAGGGGGATAACAATAACGAATACAGTGGGGATCTCTACCCTGTGGGGTCCTGTTCGTCAGCCCACCTCTCCTTCTTCGGCTTCCACGGCTTAAAAAGTGCGATCATGACGGAAGACGAAGGCATGCACTGTTGGAGCGGCGGGGGGATGAAAACGCCTCACAAATACGGGTCAATGAGTTATGCGTGTTGTTTCGATTTGACTGCGGCGTAGTTCAAGATCTTAGCCAGCGATTAGGTGGTTTTCAGATCAGACGTGTTTGATGAAACACATAGATGTGTGGGAGAAAAGAAAAGGGAAAGAGAGAGTATCAGAAAAGAAACACCTAGGGGCGCACATAGGCCCGCACACCCGAAAGCTAGGATGATGCTGATGATGATGATGGTTACAGTACAAGGAGAACGTGGATAGAGGCTCGATGACTGAGAACAGATGGTTAAACATGACGTTCTGTGCTGTTTGATAAAACTCGTCCTCGGAAACGGAAGTGGGAAAAGGATTTCATGCCAAAACCAGTGCATGTGATCAATTTTCGGGGCATCTATACACACGGTTGCACCTTTGCTTTATTACGGGAATTACTTTTACTGTCAATCAACATGAAAGCGAAAAAACGTCTCAAAATTGGTTCGATTCAATGTGTGTTCCTGATACAATATAAATACCCTGCAATTCTAGTTGGTTCGTCTCGAACTTTCACGAGCATCACGCAGAGGGATTAATAACACAACCGCTGTTTGCTATTTGCATTTCGAATCAAACACAACACACCCAATATATGGAGGTATTGACGTTCACATTCAACACTCAGCATTTCCGCCGAAACGGCATGTCTCAAACGTATAAGTAATAGTTCTGAAGTGACTCAGATGAGTTATAATTCGCATGGGTTCCATCAAAGTAGAGAAACGTTCCTGTAGAAATTTTAAGGAGAGAAAAATTTTTGCGAAATAGGTATTAATTCAAAAAGAAAAAGGCACTAGTACATTTTCTCCTATTAACAGTGTGATGGAACGCAAAAGGACAAACGTAGTGACATTTATGGGCAGTCCTCAGGCGTACAAGGAAATAATTTCACCGGGATGTAGCAAAATAATTTTACTATATTAACTTGCACATTCTACATTTGCATAAACAAAAAGAAAAACTTCAAAAAAATCAAAACCTTTCTAAAGGAATAGAAATACAGAGAGACGAGTCAGATGACATGCTTCTGTCGGGGCACAACATATTTTTTGGGTAGCCATACCTTCGAATCGAGCTTATCAGCAGAAAGAATCGAAAACAAGGTATGACAACTTCTTCTATGGTTCAGTCACTATTGAATAGACGAGAATGGTTGACTATGTGTTGGTATAAGGATTACTGACTTTCACCAAACGAAGTCGAATGTGATACTTTTGCCTATGTTTGGACAGGGCACTCGAAACTATTTGGTAAATAGTAGTTGGCCTAGTGCATTCAATTTGCAGAAAAGCGGAACAAATCAGAGAGGTTTCAGGTTTTAGATCTTTCAGAAAAGGAAACTAAGGATGTTAAGCTGATAAAAAGGTAGTTCTGACTACTTCCGAGATTTCGGAGTGACTGTGAAAGAAAGTTTTTACAGATCATCATACGCATCATCTCACATCCAGAAAATGGCTAAAGAGGACAAGGATAAGGGTCTCTGGGACTAGATTAAGTCCGAGATCCGTTCGCGATTTCTTTGAATGTGTTCACATTTCATTCAAAGTTCCGATGACAGTTCTGAAGTGGATGCTTCCGGAGGAGCTAACAAGTAGTTCTTAACGGAGATGACCGAGAATGATGGAGAGCGGTCAATGACAGGAACTGCGCGGAAAGAGAGAATGCAAATGGTCTCGAAAAGAATCAACAAACCTTGTAGTAGTGATAGTAGTTAATTCCTGAATAGTTGTCGTCTCAGAGACCACAGACTCGGCTAAACGTGTGGATGCACGGCTGTCAATTAGTGGACCACGATACGTCGACGGCACTGTAGTGATAGGCACCGAATGGACCGGACTTATGGATTCTCCGCCAATGTACGCAATCCGAACTGAACATCTCCAACTTATATACGAATAAATTATGCAAATTTATGACAGATTGCAAACTGACGATTAGTTTGGAACGCTAAAGTGAGGTTGCGGCACTGCTTGTTTTACACGGGTTTGTGTGCGTAGCAGAAGTTAGAATTCCACAAAGAAATTATCATAATCCTCGATGGATTAGAGTAAGCAGAGTCAAGACAAAATGATCTTTGAACACTTTTCTTTTTTCTACTATAGAGAGGCTACTGAATAGCTTATTCGCGCAAAACGCCGCTGTGGTAGACCTCATTCGGCATCGTACGCCGCCGCGACAGAACCGCTGCCAGTTAAGTGTTCTCCTTCTATAGGTAATCGTTTCTTTACACAATCATATTTTCCAAGCAATTTCGCGGTTTCTGGCCAGAGTGCGCATGATCTTGACGATTCCGCATGGTTGGTAACTCAAAGAAAAGGAAAGATGATAGAACTGTTGAACCTATGTGATTCTACTGCGTTATCGGGAGGTAAGCGTGTTTCACTTCATTTTCCAGAGAGAAAGATTCACTTCTGCCTTTTTCAAAAAACACGCTACGCTTCTGCTTTAGGTTTCTGAACTTATATGAATGCTCCTCGGATCCAACCTGGAAACTCAGTTTCGTGCCGTCCACGCGCATTCACTCGCTCCACAGATTCCGGGCTCACGAAAGGTTTCGGCTGAATGGCGCGCTGGTCAGTGATATAGTCTTGAACCGATGCTGAAAAACACATTGTTACACAAACAGTCTCTATTCTTTCTGAACTGAGGAGTTCTTCAAGGTTGCATAGACATTGACCCAGTCACTCAATGTTTGCTTTCCACTTTGAGCGCAGTCAGCAATGGAAATAAAAAAACATCAAACACACACACACAACGAAACAGGAAGACGCCACAGAGTTCACATCATCTCAGGCCGCGTGCATGAATGTTCCGGAATTATCAAAAAGTAAAATGAAAAGACTAGTGAATAAAGGCTGACATCACGATCAAGTGTTACATTCATATACAAAGCCCACTTTCCACAGTGTGAACAGGTGGTGAACTTTCTATAAACGTTTCGGCACAAAGAACCGTCACAGTTCAGAGTTGCAGTTTGTTATAAATCCATAGTTCACTACTTATCTTGTGAAATAAATAACATACAATAATCTTCCGTTCCTATGCGTTCTGAGCTACTAAGTGGGCGAGAGAGTGGAGAACTTGGAGCAGATATGGTCAGCGGAGCGGAGTACGATATGGCAACCTGAAATCCACAAGAATTAGCTCAATAAGTATATTTTTCCTCCCGTTGATTTCGTTCATTCTATTCTATTTTCTCCAACGAAACTCGGGCAGCGTGCCGGGAAGCTCGGCAACCAATGGCAGCAGCGCAACTTCCCAGCTCAAACCGCTGCTAATTGGCTGCCGCGCTTCCTGACACGACTTCTGCTTGATAACCAAATGTGCCCAGAGAATGTATCCATCTGAGAACCCTACTTGAAAATTCAAACCTCCAAAGTTCTTCCCACTTATCTTCAATTATGTTTATTGTTCACGGTACATGAATAAAATAATTGAGTAATTCTGATTTTTCGGATGTTTCCATTGTCTCAGCTCAGGACTGCAAGCCAAACGGGCAAAAACTGTGATGATTTCCTTACGCTAACCAGCTTGGAATTTTTGGAACCACTCCCGGTCCAGACACCCCACTCAACCCTCGATAACGTAGTATGAAGTTCCGTCCTTCAGTCAACATTTGACCTAGTCGGCCCGCATTCCTAAGATGTACTAGGTGTTTGCAGTTCAATACTCTTGAGGAATTTTAAGATAAAATCAAGTGTATTTACTCAACGCTTCACTCTCCTCTCCAGGTGATGCACGCCTAACACCTTCGACTCAAAAAGACAGAGGCAATAAATTTTTTTACATTGTAAACACTCCCAGTACGTGCGTAAGTTTCACAACCAATTATTTTTTGCAGCTAATAAAACACATTAATGGATAACTCGATTACTTCCGGAAAGAACAATATGACACTTCAAGTTTAATCATAAAGTGCAATGTTGCAATAAACATGCCATAAATATGGGCGAATTAAGTCTTGAAAAAGTGACGAGTTTTCGTAAAATGGGGAGGTGTACGATAATGGGTGCTAACATTCATTGTAAAAACTTCTTGATAGATAATTCTTGAACAATGAAAATCTAAAAGTCTCAATGTAATCCTTGATCTGATTTTCGCCTTCTGCGTATGAACATCTAGTAAAAAAACTTTTTTGAGGCACAATTACAGCAAATTATTTGCTGTGTATCAGTAGTAATTTTGAAGCATATCAAGTTTTTCCGGGTCGTAAGTTTACCATAGGGCGTCACTTTTGTTCAGTGGATTTAGAGATAAGTCAGTCCATCCATATCCTATTAAGCCTTTAATGTATTAGCATTTCTTCGATCACATTAAATTTCCAGAAGATGCACTTGCGCCTTAAGGACCTTATCATTCGGAAATCGAACAAACACAATAAAAAGTCCATTATTACATACTTCAAGTGATTTGCCCTATTTCATAGTCGAACCTGAAGTCTATAGGGCTTATTTGTGGGAACTAACTAAGAATTAGTTCCACATAGCAAATAGTGCGAATAGTGTTCTGGATTGTTTGGCAAATGTAAGTTAACCAACAAATAGGAAGAAAGATCTGGCAACACTTGCCTCTTGCACGATTTGATTGTGATGATAACGAGCTGGAGCTGGATAAACTGTTGCCTAAACATGGTTTACTAGCTTATTGTTTGAATCTTAAGTTTATAGGCTAATGAGTCGGTACCTTGCTATTAAACTTGCGTTTACGATAAAAATCGTCATCGTCGCTTTCTTCGATGAAGGCGGGCGATGCCGACATGGTATACATGTTTTCTGGAAGAAGAAGGTGTTCTACACATAAAAGTGCCGTCATTTCACAGTTGAGAATGGGATTTTCAGCACAAAGCAGGTGGGAACACTCTCTTTCTATTGCCAGTTTTGGTGTAAATATGCGAAGAGCATTTATGGGAATGCAAGCACCGAGGTGTGTACGAGAGAGAAGAGTTTGCACAGTCGCCGCGCATCTCGATGCCGAATCGCCCTGTGTCATTTTCGAAGCGATGACACAGAGCAAGTTTAAGGACCTCGGGTCTCGGTACGATAACTTGACACTTCTGTCTGTCGCTCGACACCTGCATTGCGCCGAAAATATACACAGAAGCCCCGTTTTGCACTCACTTGACCCCCTCGAGGGGGTGTAGACGACCTTCCGTGTTTGTGGATACTGCCGCTGCTGTTTCGTATGGAATATGTGGGCAGTGGTGATCTCTTTCTGCTGAAAAAATGAACACATAGAAAAAGACACGAATGTTTGCGCATTGAACACAAGAAAAAAAGTGTTTTGGCAATAATCTTTTGTTTGCTTTCTCAGAGGTAACAGACGCACATGCGTTCCAGAGAGAACTAGCGTTTTTACCGAATAATGGCGACTAGGTAAACGTAACAGATTATTGCATGTTTGGCTGGCTGGAGATGGAAAGGAGCGCACAATTGTACATAGCTAATTTACTCTGTGCATCAATGTGCAAAGAAGAAATCGCGAAAGTGGTTTCAGTTTAGAACAAGAGGGACGTTTGAGGAAATAAGAGAAAGAAGAATGCTAATAAGGTAGTGGTTTTCATTTTGGAATGACAAGTTGACCCAGAAAAAATCATTCCCAAAGAAAACATTATTTGAAAAAAAAATACAAAATAGTGTGTTAAAAAAATGCAAACTGCATAAAGCTCGGCCGGGTTCCTCCAGGAAGAAACATTATGATCTTCTCCGACATGCTTTGATTTTTTGAATGTTTTTTCCTTGGCGCTTTTTTATGCATAACATAGTTGATAAATTAATAAGATTAAGCTTAACCAAATGCAGGTTCAGTGCTTTACTTACTAGCAAAAAATTCTATTAACTTATGAACACCGCCCCCCCCCCCCCGCCGTGCTCACTCCCCCTCTTTTTCTTTGCACTCCTACCCACAACTTGAAGAGAAAAGTAGATTGTCAGACCTATTCATCCTATTATTATCAAAACTCTATGTATATTCACATGAGTGCAAATAGTCAAAATGCGTAGGTTCTCCTTCATCTCTAGAGAATAGTGAATCACACACAAACCAAACGATTTACCATTCTATTCATAACGATTGTGAACAAGCAGAGGTCATTGAGGCGTTCAAAAAACTAAACCATGAATCAATGTGTCGAGCCATTCTCAATGCTAAGTCACGATGTCAATTTTAAGCAATAGTAAGATGCATGGATATTGCTAGGAAAATTATTCAGATGAGATATCTGACTTTTCTAGTGATGGCTTGAGGAATTTGTGATTTTTCTTGGTAAAAAAGGCACCTTGATAAACAAAAAATTCGAAGATATTGACCCTCTTAAAGAAGCAAGGAAGCTACGAGATTTCTACAAAAACAGCAAATGAAATTCTTATATTATAGCAGAAACTTTTCCAGTAATGATTGAGAAATTTTTGAATTTTTTCTCTGGGCAAAAGCGGATTTTTAACAAAATTAACGAAAAACGTGGCAAAATGTTCGTTATTGTTGTGTTTCATGTATGACTAACACATTTTTGTCAGTGTTTTGGAACGCCTAAAGACTATTTAATGAAAATGAAAATGAAATGAAAAGAGACCAAGACAAATGAAGCAAAATAGTGCAAAATTTCTTGAAAGATGTAAAATGAATAACTCCAGTGCAAACACCCTGCTCTGCATTCAACCCGCCCATCGTCAAATAGAAGAGAATAAAAACTTGTAAATCGACGAGGTAAAAGACCTATAATCCACGACGTCCTAATTTCTAGGGGACGGTAGCGTGACGGATAGAAATGGCATATAATGAGGTGAGATGGCTTTGATTTTTTGGGCTCTCAGCGGCGATTTTCTTTACGACTTGCCCAGATCTAGTAAAATTCCCAATCGGAAGCAAGGTACCCCATAAAGCACAGAAGATAAGAAGAAGCGTGAGGGAGGAAGCACTGGAACTGCACGCATGTTTACGAGCAAGAGAACATGGCCCCCCACATGATGTTGATGGGGCAAAATCGAAGGTACTCGTCTCTTCCTATACAGGTATTTTGACTGAAATGAGGCAATAGACGGAGGACAATGGCACGAACGAAATACGTCTAGCGGCAGCGGCAACGGGCGGTCGAGGGAGCTTGCGCGGCAGCGGCGGTGACAGTCAAGTGGGGAAAAGGCCAAGTGCGACTCCAGACCAACCATCACCACCTACCGCTTGTTGTGCAGCTGCCTGCGCACGTAAACACGGATCCACGGGGCACGAGGGGGGGGGGTGAGATCCGGGGTGAGCCGCGCGAGAGCGAGCTACGACTGTACCAATCGCGCCTACTTAACAAGCTTTGCCTCGGCTAGATTATTCAATCATCTCCCATAACTTAGCCCAATTACGATAGCTTGGGCCACCGGTGGACCATGAGTCCTCAGCGTGGGCCACCGGTGGATCATTTAAAAATTCCTTTCAGTATCCTATTCTTCCTAGACCCTAATGAACAACGTTACAAACTTTTTGTCTCTCTCAACATGTATATTAGCTAGAAAAGCAGTAACCCGCAGTGATGATACATTATAAACCTAGCCAAAATCACCTTGTGAATTAAGAGCAGTGGATACCCATGAACCTTAGCAGACACCTTGTTACCTCGACCCCCTTCCCCCCCCCCCTCCCTCCCACCCCGCCCTTTCAAAAAAAAAACTCTATTTGAACGAAATAAGAGGCTGTGAAAAGGACGCTTAGCACACGGCGCGACGATTGGAAGGTCGCGACACAGAAGAGGTGAACTCTTTTGGCGCACGTGCAATGTCCCCGCAAGTGCCTCACTTATTCCTTTTTTCCCACATTTCAATCACAACCTCTACTTCATCCCATCATACTTAAGTGTACTGTGTTACTGAGAATGTGTCATTAAAATCCATTACATGAATGATACCGAAAAAAACGCCCTCACTTCACAATTTTCATTTTTCGTTCCCGGTGCAACAGTCATGACCTCGAACGTTTGTTTGTTGAACGCTAGGAATGTTTTCCATGTTGAGGTTGTTTTTCCGACTACTTTTATGACTTTTACGAACATAAATCGTTAAGATAGGAGGAACATAACATTGTTATTCAGGATTTTTGCAACAGTTGTTATGGCAGAATATGTAGAGTTGAAAAAAATTATTCAACCAATGTTGTGATAATTGGCGTGAAAATTTGAAGAGGAGTACAAGGTTTGAACAGATGAATGCTGTGCTGGAAGTATATCGGGAAAGTACAGGAACATTCTGATGTTGGCTTAATCAATTTTTTTCTGCTAACAGGATGACCAACGGGGCTTTATTAATTAACGAAAAAAGGAAAAACTCATTCGTCCCTCATGGATGGATTTTCAGAACTATCCTATGTCCCACCAGGCAAATAATCTCCACGGTAAAAAGGGATCCAAAAGAAAAGTAAATATTTGCTGGAAAAAATTGAGGAAAAAAGGTAAAGTGTGCTTTGCTGTCAGGGCTCAATAGCAGAATGATTCAAAGGTTGAGAAAAAATGTTGAAAACTTCAAATGTGAGTAAACAAGAACGGATAAAGAACTGATCAGTTGTAGCTGACAGGACGGGAGGCTGTTCGACATGAAAGATCAAGGCATATGAAAAAATTGAAAAAATTTACAGCAGTTTTAAGGAAGTTTTGAGCTCAGCAAAGTATAAAAATTACTTGATTACTGGAAAAAAAATTTGTTAGCAAAAAACGCTTGAGATGAAGTGACACAGTATTAAGGTAGAGTGAGTTGTGGATCAAGTGAAGTTACGAAGAACACCTCTGATCGCTGGGGATGCGTGAGAGCCTTCACATCCCACACATAATAGAGGGTGCGCGAGTGAATCGATGAGGGTTATCTGTTGAAAAAATCACGAACCGGATTATCCATATCGCAGAAAGTGATAAACAACGAGCACAGTGGTTCGGAAATGTTGACGGATATGACAAGGGTCTGAGCCCTTACTGATTGCACCCTGAAAAAAGCAGACTCGAGTCGAATTAAGAACAATCGAGACATTTCAGATCGAAAAATTTATGGAAGGATTGTGGGCAGCATGCGTAAAGGTCATTAGCAATAATCTGAACGTAAAAACTCGTGCTGCCATGAAGTAATTGCGCAAAAAGAAGACGACGATTGCGCCCGGGTCGCGCCAGTAATTTCCACAGCGAGCAGTCTATCTCCCTCATCGAACGGCTAGAAAATTTTCTGGGATAATCCCGCATTCACCAAACAATGGGGGTGAATGAACGTCAGTAAGTCGGAAATGGGAGCATAGCTTACACATTTGAGACACTCCAACCACTTTTGGTTTTGCGCCAACATAGCAGAATGAAGCCCCAGTTGCAAAGGAACAGTCAAAATGAGCGCAGATTTCGAATATTCGTAATTGACCAAGCATAAGCGTAGATTATGAGAAAAAGGAAATACTTTTTACATTAGACTTGCCCTTATTTACACAGTAATCGAGCAAAAAAACCCCAATGCTCATTGTTTGCGATTGACCAGCACGTTTACACAGACTATAAAATATTCCCTTATATTGATCTGGATTTGTATGTGTCAGAAAACAGCAAAGCTAAAAACTCAGCACATAAAGTGTTATGCAGGAAATTTGTTTACAATATAACCATGGTTGTAATACGATACCTATGCAAATGTATTTTTTATGAAGAGATAGATGGGTGACAGAAACATTGAACTTCTGGAAAGCCTCCAGCAAAACGGAGCAAGCAACCGAGCCGAGCTCAGTAGCTTTGAATGAAATGAAATGGGCTGGGAGGCTGATTTGTAGAGTTGTCTGAACTACTAAAACCTGGTACACGCCTTGTAATCCCTCATAGAGTTTAGCATAAAAATTTCCTACATTCTAGCAGAGGAGAAAATCGGATTAGGTTCACAGCAATTCGTACGTAAAACTCGTAGCTGCTGTGACAGCAAAACTTTCGTTGCAAAGAATGATCCTGTTAGCATTGATAAAAGAGATACATTTTGAGCGAAATAGCCTGAGTGAGTTGCTAGTGTCACCGAGTGGGTTATTTTTTGTGTTGTGAATGTTTTTTTGAGATTTTTATTGTGCAAATATGATTAGTCTCTGTGCTCAGTGTTGGATATCCGGATGATGCAGGATGTGAATGATCAAAATAGGGCCAGCAGTGCGAACAATAATAACGTCACATCGATCGTCAGATACAATATGAGCAGAGCACGAAATATGGTCAATAGATGCCCTAAATGAAATCGCATGTCGCATCGCCCTGGAGGTGCACATTTACTCTGCGTCCGACAACTATTTGTAGCCTGAAGAGTGCAGTGTTCACGTTCTAATGCAAAGTAACTCACTCCGGGATTAGCCATTTTTTGCAGGAGGGCCATTTCGTACTTACGCGATTTTTGCCCCAAAAGGGGTGACCCCGTACCAAAACAAAACAAAAGAGAAGCGTGAAAAGGGGGCGACGCGAGAAACTTGTCACTTCACTGACTTCGTCGAACTGTGAGCGGTTTATGCACAACAAGACTAGAAATTCGAATAGAGAATGAGGCGCTCGAGAGGAGGTTTTGCGCACGCGAAAGCAGATTAACTCCGTGTATAGCAGTACTTCTGACGGTGCCACTGCGGCGGCGCCAACCGCCACGGGAACGACGATCAGCTTTTGCACACCTGGTCCAAGACCACGACTGGTGGTCACTGTGGGCACGAATGCAGATGCAGAGCGAGGACGATGACGATACTGCTGAAGCGCTTACAGTGTCATAGATTTACAGAAGAGGTGTGGCCTTTATTGTGCAGCATTGCAGCTTGGATAAGATACTTGAAAAAGCAGCAAAGTGTCTGGGTGTGTGTGTGCAAGCTTTTGACGGGGATTTGGTCACGTTGTGGGGGCAAAAACTCCATGAAACAGTGCTTCGTGATCAGAAGTGGACTGCTGGAAAGCTTGATTGGTCCAAATCAGTTTAATTCTGTTGCATTCATCGCATTCCTTTTCCCTGTGGCCAACGAACTCAAAACCTCAAAATTTCTATGCAAACGCAAGAATTAATCTAAAAGATTTAGCTAATCTTCGCATCAAAAATACTCAACGATTATACCATTATCTTAGACAAAGCAATTGACAAACTCGTCGATGCTAGACATTTTAGCACATTAAGAACTATAAGCTAACGCGCTCTTGTTCGGCTATTACGCAAAACACAATCAAAAGAATCCGTTCACTTCAGATCCGGTGTAGCCGGTTGATCTTTGCCTGAAGTTTAGTACTTTGCTACTTTACATATTGCGTATACTTTTTATTTTGCGTGCAAAATTAGTCTTTCGGTTGAACATACGGTCTTTGCATTGCTCGGCTGATACTGCACAATTCATCATTACTGAACAGCCATAAGGTAAGGCTCAATAATTACCTTTCAATCTTTATTATACTAGACCGTCATATTGCATGCACTTTTTTCTGATTTCTCTAATACTATCTAGAAAGAACTTCCTTACACTACTCGTGGAAGACCTAGGTAATTATATAACAATTATGCCCAAAAAAACTCTCATAACCAGGAAGTCGAGGTTGTTTTGGAAATTCGATATGCTTGCTTGACTAACACAGACGATTAACTCTAAGTTCGTTATGAAATTACACAAAAGTCTAGTCACTAGATGAAATTAGGTTTGAAATAGCGGAAAGAACATTAGCTCTTGAGGAAATTCTAGCTGCTGTAAAAGAGGGGATCAAATTACGACCTCAAAATTAATATTTTCCATTCTTCTTTTTACGTTATTACGAAGGAGTGAAGAAAAAGCCTTTGTTTGAAAAAGGTTGGAAGAGGACATGATTTTCGAATCCGAATAGTATTCTTCACCTAATTCTGCTTTCAGACAATAGAATTTGACTAAAAAAGAGGCAACATACCAAAAAATAGTTATTGAGGTTTTCTCCATATTTCATAAATTCTTTCCTCAACGAAAATCTCGTTGTTTTGCTTTTTTTCAGGTATGATTTAGCCTACTGAAACATTCCATTTTTAGGGGATAACCCAAATTTCCAGAAACAATGTCATCCTATGAGTGAACGTGAAGAGATCTTGAAAAAGACAGTCGAAGTAGAAGAACAATTAGCTACATTGGCCTTTCCGAAGCCGCTCCACTTTGAAATAAAACCAGTTCTAAGTAGAGTTGAGAGGATGAGTTCTCCAACAGTAGAGGATTATTGAAATCTCGGCCTTCACTCAGCGGCTTATACTTTTCAATGCCTTCATTGTGATTGTTTGCAGAGATGTTGGCTGGAGGAAAGGTTTAGATGTTAGTTCAGAGAACATCTTGCAGCTCGTAGATTCTATATTATCCAGAAAAAAGCGTTTTCTGGTAAAATTCTAGGCAAAAACCTTTCAGCTTACCACGGATACACAAATCGCATTTTTTGAAAATTATGAAAAATCAATGATTGTCTTTATTAGCTCAACTAATTCGATTATGAATTCTGCCATATTTATTCATTTATCTGATTGAACGGTCCCGAAAATTTTGTCGGTTTTTTTTTTGAATTCACTATAACTCACAGAACGACATCACATCGACGAACGACTCAGGTATCGTTTGATTCAGATTTTTATTCTCTTTCTGATGGCTACATTTTCTCCCTGATTTACGCAGTTTCTGCCATGTTAGCCCAAGGGTTCTCCGAGCAGTTCAGCAATACCCCAAATTTTCCCTAATTCTTAGAAAGTTTTATTTCAATATTCTAGAACAGCGCTGGTGGCTGTTATGCGGAGTAGAACTTTGGCTAAATCACACTTATTTCTGAACATAGATCTAGTTTTTGAAATCTGTAATAATTGTTTATTTAACAAAAACCCTGGCTTTTTGAGCATTCGTAGCATATGAGGGTACCGAAAGTTGCAGAAAAGATTTTTCAAAACAAATCAAACTTGATCATTGTGCACAAATGAGGCTTAGTGATAATCAGCTTTAACTCGCAGTAACTTTGAGTGTTTTCATGTTTTTGGTGCAGTTGTGCGTTTCATGACTTTACAATTGAGATCTAGTAATTGTTTTAGCTCCAATAAGCAGCTCAGGAAAGCTAAACAATACGTTCTTATCATTCAAAATTTGCTCTATTTGAATCACACTTACTCTTTCAACGAACCGTAAAATGAATTTATCTAAAAATCAGCCGAATTTACATCAGATTTGAATGGCAGGATATCGCAACTGTAGCGAAAATGTAACCTTCAGAAAGAGGAGAAAGAGCTGCATCGAATGCATATTCGAACGTATTCAGATCTATACTAAGCAAAATTTTACAGTTTTCGGCACGACCTGATATAATAGAACCACAGATATAAAGTGAAACATTTTCAAACATTTGTGACAGATCCAACATTAATGATGCATTGTTTTTTTTTCGATCTACAAAGTAAAACGGGCATCCATAATTTTAATTAGTTTCCGAATTTACACTTTGTGTTACAAGTTTGGGCGGAAAGCGCTTCAAAAAACCCATTTTCCTCTTCCAAATCATTACGTAATATATTTTGGATTCGTTGTTTACCACTTGGCCACCGCTGATCCGTGGAACATGGCAAACGAGGAGGCAGCAGACGGAGAAATTATGATGAAATGTACAGATGTTCATTCTCGGATTGCTGCCAAGTGGCATGCGTTTTGGAACGCTGCCAAATTTCATAACGAGTGACCAATGATATTTTCGTGAAAGAGTTACACGTATTTCGAAAGGCAATCATGAGTGTCGCAATGATTTTGAGACTGGGTCGTCAGTGTCTGGGTGTTTTATTTGTACCTGTTTTTTTTTTCGAGCTTGTTATCCCAGAATGTGTCTTTCAAATATGTTGCACTCCCATTAGTTGTTTTTGAAATGATGCCAAATTGCGTAAAAGCGTGATTTGAGCTAAATTCATCTATGTTCTCAACTCTTAGTAAAAATGCTCCAATTAAGAACAGTCACTTTAGGATTATCTTGCTTCCGCGTATATCTAGACAAAAGAGTGCGTGAGTAACTTGGTTTCGCTGTTACTTTGGAAGCGTTTATCTAACAACAGCCTTGCTTTTGCTTGTGTAACTGGGTCCCGAGGTGCCTTCAACTGGGTAAGCGGCACGTAGGGCAAGGCAACTCGATCGGGAAGTGGAACAGATTTTTATACGTTTAGGGAAGTTCTCAAAATTGAAGGTCCCAAATTGGCACGTACGGCAGTTTGAGAATACGCTGTCAGTTAATATGAGATTATTCCGAAAATTATGTCGCATGGCATCTTATCGCGACAAAATGACCACAAAAATAGCGAATGGGATATCATTTCATAGAGCAAGGCAAGCTCTACAAGATAGCTTACAAACCTCCGCGGCAATCGTGCTCCATCTGAAGTTCGAATCCAAAATATAAATTTTTTTAGATATCAGAAAAAATCTATCTCCGTTCATAGACGTCTTATGGACCTCCAATTTGCACAGGCATGTACTCTCTAAATTCGACATTCACCTGTATAGTTTGTGGTATTATTCCATGGATACGGTACGAGAAATAAAAATGGTCAAAAGGGCGAATATATCGTGTTTTTAGGGTTTTTTGCACACAATTTGATTTTTCTGGAAAACTAGCGCTTGTCTAAAGCTAAAAATTCATGGTTATCTCCTAAAGGTTTATAGTAAAGAAGCATCAATGTGAGAGAAGCTCAGGATTGTTTTGGAAAAATGCCGAATTTCGTTTTCTCAGTTTTCAGCCGTGAAAAAACCGCGAAAATGTGTATACGAATGTCTCGTATAGTGAGTCCATGCGTGAGCAAGTTAAAGGTTCCCAGGACTTTTCTGAACGGAGATACGATTTTTTTGGTTTTTTTAGATTTTTAGTGCCTTATGAAATTTGGCTCCAAAGTCTATGCAAATCAAACCTGGCGCAAAGTTTAGAGCTTCATTTTGTAGAGCTTGCTCTGAACTATCGGTCGATATCTCACTTACTTTCGTGCTCACCCTGACGCGATATTGCATGTTAAGACACGATGCGGCATCATTTTCCGGACAACCTATTACTTGATTTCGTTGTTTTCTTTTTGTAAAGTCGTAGTTAGTTTTTCTTATATATATATAAGGTCTTCAAGCGGCACAGAGGGCATAGACTTTCTTTCGATAGTTACTATCGGTCTGTAAGCGGCACGTAGGGCAACTCGATCGGGCAGGGAAACAGATTTTTGTACGTTTGAGGCAGTCCTTATAATTTTCAAACGGTCTTCAAGCGGCACGTAGGGCATAAACTGGCTTTCAGATAGATAATTTTGGTCGGTCAGCGGTACGTAGGGCAACTTGATCGGACAGGGAAACAAATTTTCTGTACGTTGTGCAGTTCTTATGATTGACGATCTTTAGGTGGCTCAGTAGTCGTGCTTTTCGAAGATGGATCTCCTTTTTTAGTCAAGCTTCATATTCCTTTGGCAAAAAAAAACGAACTCTTTGACAAAGTTCTTAGACGATTCGTTGCTGTCGGAATTGATTCCGAGAGGAAAATGTTCTTTGTAGTACACATAATTGTCATGGGTGTATTTCTACTCCTAAAACGATAGGAGTTCTGCTACTTACTTAACGATCTTTATAAAACTTGTTGAGAAGAATGGAAGAGCAAATTCTCTTTGAGAGGGTAGAAAAGTGGAGGGGGAGGGCTATCTGATTGTCTCTGTGAGAAGGGGAAAGAAATTTGCAGAAAGAGCGTGGTAAACGAGAGAGAAATAATATTCTCCATGCATGGTTGTAGCAGGAATTTCGAGAAATGCTGAATGATTTGTGGAGATTATTGCTTTTTCGAGCAGTTCTCCTTTTGTAGAATGCTCTTCTCAAAATTGTTCTGACGAAAGGAATAGGAAACTTATTTAGAAATATTTGTAGTCACAACTAAGCCCTTATATTGAATCTGCCCCGACCCACTTGCTAGCGACCCTTAGGGTCGCTAGTCTTTTATTTAATCTGGCAATGTTCAATCCAATGAATGCAGAAAAAACTCACTTTACTGTTACGATAAACTTGATCTCCTTAATATTTGACGCGGTCATTTTGGAAACCTGAAATTTTCTTACAAAATCAAAACTATCGGCAAGAATTTAGAATTTTGATAAACATGCACATTTCAGACTCACCGGATGGATAGACTGACAAGTCCGTCCAAGCCAGTCTCTAACACTGAGTGAACTCTAGAGTTCTGGAGTACGTAAAAGCTTTTAAGTCAACATTACGTTGCAGCACAAACAGCAAAACGGTAGCGTCTCTGAGCATACTCGTTCCGTGGAGAGGCTTTTTCAATGACTACTTGAAAGTATTTCAAAGTATCGCGTTGCTTTTTTCTGTAGAGTTTCGGAAACTATGTAGGTAGCAAAGTGGTGTGCAGTCCAAATCACTACTGACAAAGTACTGATGGTGTCTTTCTATGATTTCCACATCAATAAAGAAGACATGTTTTGAACGCACTTCTGAAGTCCGCTTTCCTGTGTGCTTTAATGTGCAAATGGAAATTGTCTATCAAAAAGGGTTGGTAAATGATACAAAACGCATGGAATGAGATGGATGACACAGCAAAGTGTCACTACTGAAACTAAGTAAACAGATTTTCAAATTTTCCTACCCGGGCATTTCCTACTTCTGATGCGACTCTTTCTATCTGAGCAGTGTATGGTCAAAAATCAACAAAGCTATACCCAATATGCGGTATATCATCGGACTCGTCTTGGAAAGCTGATCACAGATATATGTTTTTTATTTTTTTTCTTTTTCTTTTTTACAGAAGGGTAGAAGCAAACTTGATTTTAGCCTATAAAATTCTTAATGGCGAACTCCGTCTGGTTTCATCCGGTGTACGGATGGCATGGGATTTTGCTTTTCGACTCAAGCTACCGAGCACAAATCGTCTGAGGTGTACGAGTTCCTTCTTTTTCAGAGTCGCCAAATTTTTGGAAAGTTCACCTACAGCTTTTTTATCCCTTAAAAATTGAGCACAAATCAAAAAAGCCATCCGCAGAATGGAAATTATTTAAGCGCTGAGCATACATCCTCAAGTGGCTCCGCTTCTTGTTGATTGTATAGTTCCTTGCATTGCAGTAACGTGGATACCTTTAGCATGTTTCCCTATGTCTTTCCAGAACTTCACAGTTCCGGGTGCAGCTTTTGTCGGCTAGATCTTTTCACTTTTCATTACCTCTTCAACTACCTCCTGTTAGGTTCTTTGAAGTTTTTTTGTTCAGATCGTTTGTTTACTTTGCACTACATTGGTGCTAATAATAGTAGTCTTTGGGCGTTGTTTTGTCTTCTTCCGCCACTCCGGTCAGTCATGACGGGTTCGTGGAAAGGAGGGAGGGGAGGGGGGGGGGGGGGGGGGGGGGGTTCGGTGAGCAGTGGTACTGGCAGTTCCCTGCCAGTATACCCGTTTTGGCTTGTCTGGCGGGGGCTGCCAGTATAGCCAGTCGCCGGGCTTCCGGTCTGTCCCCACGACTTGGTGTGTCTTATCGGGTTGACGGGCGAAGGAGGAAAGTGGTTGCCAACGTTGTTTCATGTTTCTCCTTCCTCCATTGAGTGCAAAGTAGATTGGACTAGATCTGGATGACTGATTCATTACAATATGATTGTTCCTTTTGTTTTATTTTATTTCTATTGATTTGTCGTTTTATATACCCTGATATGGTTTTGTTGTATTGAAGCACGCCTCCTGGCGTACAAAATAAAATGAAATAAAAGCGTTACAAGCGTTTGAATGTGCGATTTGTCAAGTGTTCTGCGGCGCATGTTCCACGAAATAGGTTTCAAAACACTTATTTAAGTTTCTGGTGAATGTGTTTGTTCCTTGTAATCAAACCGTAGCCACTGTAAATCCACGCCATCAAGCTGCCTTCGAAGAATATATATTCGTTGAAGCTCGAAAAATTTCTTTTATTTGAGCGCTCATAACTCCTCCCAGGTAGTCGTTTGACAGATAAAAAACTTATGTTTGAAATCAGCGTCTTTAGACGAGTCCGGCGATATACAACTTGTTTGGAATGGCTAGGTTGAATTCTGACCATTTCCTCGTTAGCACCCTCCGTTTTATCGCTGTGACCTATGCTTCAACCAATAAAGTCAAAAAACCATATGTAAGGTGTCACAAGCGTCAAACATTTGCTCAAAGAAGACAACAAAACATAAAAAAAGTTTCCCCGCAATTTTCCAAAAAACATTAGCGTTTCGCCCCGCAGCCTCTGTGCAGTTGTGAAGTTATAATGGTAACTCATGGGCAAGTTGGATGGGACACGTCTTTGAAAAGAAAAAAGTGATGTGAGTGGAAACTCACTGTTCGTGAATATACTCACTTTCTTTGCGAGACACCATCCATGTTCTTCGAATCTCCATATTCTTCATCTTCTAGGATTTCGACCATACAACGTACTTTCTGCCGAAACACCTAAAAGTTCTGCTCATATGGTACATGTGTGTAACCCTTGATTCGACTGGATTGGTGGGTTTATGACTTGACTAAGGCCGCTCGCGCCCGCGGCGCAGTCTGCGTCTCCCTCGCGCGCGTGCTCTCTGATCATTCTCCAGCCGAACTAGATCACGAACCTCGCCTTTCAGCCGCCAATCTGGTTGAATCAAAAGGTAAAATGCATAGATATAGTAAATACGCCGGCGTTTTCTGATGTGTTCTTCCCCACCCAAAAAATTTTTTTCGCTTTCGATAAAGGTATGTAAAAATAAGGTCCCGGCTACTGATCACATGCGTTTCGAGATGCATTGCGACAATTGAACGAAACGAAATTCTGGTATACTTACGTTCCAAGAAATGAATAGGAAGACAGGAAAATTGAATCATTAGATATCAGCTTATTTCCTGTAGAATCAATGACATATCGACTTCTGGGAAAGTCTGACTGTTGAAAAGAACAGCAGCGGTTGAAAAGGTCTTATTCGTCTGACCGTCTCATCAATCTCCCTACAGAGAGTGTCATTGATCATATGAACACTATTGAAAGATAATCTTTGCCTTTTAACTCTCATGTCGAAGCATCGCTTGTATAGATTGTGCTCATCTGTGATAGAGAAAAATAAGCGAAAATTTTGCGTACCGCGGCGGTAGCCGCCGCTAGCTGCCCGTAGCAGCTCGCAGCCGCTGCTAGCTGCCCGTAACAGCTCGTAGCTGCCGCTAGCTGCCCGTAGCAGCCCATAGCCGCCGCTGGCCGTTTTTGTCATAGAAGTGCAAGATCATCAAATTCTTGCCACTTTGAGTGCACCCGCCCACACTTTCCATCTTCCACGCTTTTTTCTTCCTATTGTCGCTAATGTGCGGTTCGACTCTCACACATTACAGAGTTATTCAAGATAAGCACCAAGAGCCAAGAAAAAAGAGTGATGCAGAAATATACTCAAAAAATAAACAAATAGCACACCCCCAAAAACTCGACGCATCCAAAGTTAAAAGAAATCACACCGCAAACTTTGGCGAGCTATGGTTCAACTGTGGGAGGGATATCGAGCACCAATAAGATAACCAATCTACGGCAACAAGATAATAATAACGACAATGGACACAACTATGATATATGAGATAATAGATAATAGTATGAGAACGAATTGCATACCAGCGGCAGCATGAAGGAAAAAGCGTAAAAGATGAAAGCTTCGGCGGTTGCACCCAAAGTAGTAAGAATTTGATGATTTTACGCCTCTTTAAAAAAAAGCGGCTAGCGGCGGCTACGGGCTGCTACAGGCTGCTAGCGGTGGCTGCCGGCGCGGTATATAGGTACAAGAAATATGTTTTCAGTGTTTTATGTTCTACAGCAATCTACTCCTAAAGAACAAACTTGTTCCTGTTTTCAGAAAACCGCTTTGAAGAGCGTTACCACTTCAGTAATAGCAGAAGTGAAATATTACTTTCGTTACCATTTACCGAATCGTGAGGATGATGCATGGGCTCCTTTAATGGTCTCCGCTGATAAAAGCATGCCATTACAGATAAATTGCATGTGAATTTTATTAGTATGGTAACCAGTACTTTCTTCAACGTCACTAATATCCACTAAAACTGAGAAGTAATGGATTTAATATTTTAAGGCAATATGTAGAAAACAACCACAAAATCAGAGAACTCAACAAAAAATTGTGAACAAGTTCATTGAAAAAACTGAAGCTTCATTGAGAAATGCTAGAAAAGAGTGACATCAAAGATTTGGCGACAAGAACTTGAATGGACAATCAGCATATGATTTATAATTTGTCCTATTAGTAAAGGGCTGAAAAAATCACAATTCGACGACGGGTGGCTCGCTTAGCAATGGTCGGATCACGATCGATGGCATCTCTGCCTATGGGAAGGTAGATCTTAAAACGAATGCGTTCTGCTTCGTAAGATCGCTTCTTCATTCCTCGTCCTATTCCATTTTTAGAAAAGTATGGAAAGATCTGAAACTGGAGCTGGCAGTAGGATGAGCAGAGTTTTTGGAACGAGGTGCTTACTACATATCAAATCTAGTGGATGTTTGATGTATGCTCGCAGAGATCCAGAAAAAGATGTGGATGTCTCTTTCAAATTCAAAATCTGGAAGTGAAAGAGAGACAGCAATAATCCTACTTAGCAATTACACAGATATCTGTTCTAAATCACTGACCATGCAATCACTCTTTGCGGATCTGCAAAATTTCGGTAAGCGATCTTAAAAAAATTAAGAGTTTATGGCGTCTCATTTTTTGCTCATACTTAGAAGCCACAAGAAATACTATTTCGCTTCCACGCAACCCTAGTGCAGGTCAGAGTTTTATTATCTGAAGTGTTTACACACTTGTGGCAAGGCTAAGAAGACCCTTTATCTCCGATCCGTAAGCGCAATAGGAACCGGCTGTGAAGCTTTCGATCATAGCGCGGCTTTTTCTAATTTTTCTCCACACACATCTCTATCTGTGGCCATCGGTCAGCTGTGACTCACATGAAACAACAGATGGCTGTCGAAGCTCGTTGTGATTGTTCATGCGTATGGTAGGAAATGAAGGGGAGATATGAGCGGATCGAGTAGGGTCGCGAGAGAAGCAGAGGGCCGTGCGCGACGCGCGATTCCGGTGCATTGTCCAGTTGTCCACGCTAGTTATGATCTGCGCGAACACGCCTGCTTCGCTCTCCAGCCTGGTGATGTCGTCCGGTCAGGTGCTGCTGCTGGTCCTGCTGCTGCCCCTGGCCTCCGGACAGCTGCTCGAGATATTCGGACTCTCCACCGGCGATGCAGGAACCGTGGAGCGACAGTCGGCTTTCCATGACTTAGCCACGTAAGCCGTACTTTTTCTGGCTAAATCCACGAATCGGGCTTACGCGCTCTTTTTGCAGACAATCCGTTGGACTTATCAACTACCTCCAGCGAGTCCAGCGCAATCCCAACAATCAATTGGCGAAAAAGTGTGTCAGAGAAAGGAGAGCGTGAAAGGAGGGTGACAGTAGCGGGAAAGACCAACAGAAACAAGTTTGCGCAAAAAAATAGAATTCCCATGACGAACATGACAAAGGTGTTAGAGACTCCCTACTTTGAGGGATTCCTTATACAAAAGATAGTATAGCCCTTCACCTAGCCCTCAAACTATGAATGAAACTTTCTACAAATCTTAACCTAACCTGAAGAGAGCTACTTCCACCTTCTTATCTCTAGCGTTTTACTAATCGAATAATTCTGTGTTCCGGGTTGCGTGATCCTCTACCTTCTATGAACTTCATGGAAGGAATACCTGTGCTACCCGGAGTGATGGGCAATCTCCCCGGAGCTGGATCTTGTCTCCCTCGTGGATCACCTCTTGTTCGAGACAAGTAAGCTTTTCCTCAAAGGGAAATTTGTGCTTATATGTGCAATATTTAGATCCCCCAGCCTCTTCCAGAACATGCTTCGTAATATTCCTGGCGCTCACGATTACCTATCAAGTTTGTTGCCTTCACCCAAAGTTGATATTGACGCACTTATGGGGAAGTATCAGTGGGTAAGCCCATCTTTTGAAATTTGGGAAAAATCACAAAATTCGCAAAGGATTAATTTTCAGGCGATTGACACGCCGTCTGCTCATAATCGTTTCTGTCCTACGACTGAATGTGAGTCATTATAAGCCTCACAGTAACAATACCTTTATTGATACCCTTAGCGATTAATAACCCATTATTGCCTTTACCCGACCTTCCACCTGGGCTGCGTTTGGATATGCTACATGATATCGTATAGTTCTCCATTACAGTCCAGCGAACCGCTCAAGCTGGAAATTCGTCATCTTTCAGTCTTCAAGAAAAATTCCGAACAAACAGCGAGGAGGGCGGAGAAAAGGTTAGAACAAAAAATTCCTTTCTTAACAACTTTCAGTTGACATAACCTTCATTGCAGGTAGCGTTCGGTTATGGAATTATCACAGGAGATCGCACTTATGTTTACATGCAAGATGATCCTTGTCCATGTGAGTTTCCTGTCTATGCATTAGTAAGTGCGATCTTTTCTCGTACTCATAAAAGAATACAAAAAACCTGCAGCATTCCCTAAATTCGCCAAATTTTTGTGACTGGCGCCGTTATTCATGTGCTATTCAAATAACAAAAATTTTTCGTACGAGGGGTGATAATTTTCAATCGAACAAATGCGGACCCCACAAATTCCTGGGATGCTTCGAAGTATTTTCTTTGTTTGTAACCTTCAAATCTCGAGAAAGGAACATGCTACAAAGCTCACTTTTTTTGCAAGAAACTTCCAACAAAGGCAACGTTCCGTTAATTCACAATTTTGATCTACAATGAAAATCTCATGGTTTTTTGATTAAAACTCTAAAAAAACTCTGATCTTCGCCGAAAACTCAAAAAAGGACTCCTTACCTTCCTTCTTTCAGTTCCGCCCGTCACAGATTTCTGAGCTGCATCTCAACGTAAAGATGCAACCTTTTTCATCTGTCGAAGGTCACACTTTGCTATGTTCCAAACAATTTTGACAGTTTTGACTGTTTGAAGCTGGATCGGCTAGCATATGTGCAGTATCACTTCAAAAAGAAAGAATGATTGGCTCAAACTTAGAATAACTGTTGTTTTCAGCTTTGCACGAATCAAGGGTAAAACGAAAAAGACAGCAATATTAGTGAATGTTACCTAAAATATACGCGAAAGTAAATGGACCCATTATTATATAAGTTTGGCGCTCAACTCTCCATATAAGCATGCTAGCATGAAGGCCCAGAAACAACGTCATGCTCACATGGTATCAATGTTGTCTTGTAAAGGTTAAACAGAAGCTCATTCTACTAGAGGACTGCGATCAGAGTCTCACATTGTGATTCTACACATATAGAAAAAACCCCTCGTCAGAGAAATACTTGTAAAATAGTTCTAAAGGATTTCGGATCAACACCTTACTTTATCCATTTTTCCTGCATCAAGAAAATGTCAGAAGAGGCACATTTTTATCTATTCGAAAAAACCAGACCAAAAACCAAGAGAGCTACAGTGGAGTGTGCAAAAGCTTATTTTTGCTTAAATCTTCACTACTGTTCAAATCACTTTTCCAAATTTTGAATGTATTTGTTGTCCCCGCTCTTTATACAAACCTGAGCTTACCTCAGTCACATTTCACAAAGAAGTGTGATACATTGCAAAGCAAACCGCATCTTTTTCAGATCAAATTGTTCTGGTAGGCCCACGCAAAGGAGGAAAAGGACAATATGAATACATTATTCTTTCAAATTGGGCCCGGTATCCTCTTATCGGACTGGTACGAGACACTCAAGTTTTCCACAACAGATACAGACAACAGTTGGAAGCTGAATTAGAGAAAGAAGGATTCATCAATGATTATTCAGGGTGAGTTACTTAATATCACAATACACGTGAACGAGCTTAACACAATCACGACAACGCTGTTTTTCAATGACTGCCATTTCGGACCAGAGCACAGCATTTTGAGTTTGAATAATAGTTTCCGGCGATGAATGGGTCCTGTGTTCTGGACCATTAATCTTTTGGGAAGCACTTCAAGAAACGCATACAGAAATTTATTTGGTTAGCCCAAAAAGTTCCATCATAAACTAGCAAAATCAAAAACTTCAGACAGCATACGACCCACCGGTGGGTCGCATTGTCCTCAATGGCAGGACACGCGACCTACCGCTGTGTCGTATTGTCATGAATCTGTTGAGAGCAGTAATTTTGATTCTACTATATCTGCAATTCTGAACAAAATTTTCTTTTATCGATGCTTTGGAGTTTTTGGACCTTTATCCAACTTATGTAAGAATTTTTTTTAGGAAATCCACTATGCGCTACACAGACTGGTCCAAATGTAGACCAGCTACGCCTGTCAGCTATATCCAGAATGTTCTAGCTGAGCTATTTGGAGGATAAAATACAACTACATAAATGATATCAATCAACCAAAGAATTATCCATATACCTAGATACCTTGGTTAACATTGTATCTATATTTGTGCAATATGTTACAAGAAGGTCTTGCCCGAGAGTCATACTTCTTCGACAACGTTATAAATAAATATTTATAAGCATCATATAATTTCTGCACATAATCTTGATATGAACTTCAATCAGGTAGAGTTAGAATCGCATTTGTTAGAGGGCATAGGTTCTCGTGTTTCATACATTTACTATGTATAACATATCCAGTACTGAGGTAAGAAAGAACATCGCTGCTGGTTATGGCTTCCTTGCAAACCAGGCAGATGGTTTTATCTTCTATCTGAAAAGATTGTATTCAAATCAAATTGCTTTTGAAACAGACTATCAACATACCAAGAAGCACTAGTCTGACTGGGAAGTTCTCTTACTCGTAATTTTTACTGCTGTTTTTGCAGCTGTTTTAGAATTCTTTGTGCCGATTAATAAGGTAAACAAGCATCATATAGTTTTACTTTGACGAGATTTCACAGCCATGTTTTTCGAAAACCAGAATTTTGAACTCGAAACTCTATATCATAAAAACGCTGTGCCCTCCTCCCAGATGTCTATATCAAAATTAGCTTCATTCATGTTTACATATTTATGCACACTTTATGAAATCAAATTCAGTTTAAAAGGTGGTAGGTGGCAAACTCCACCCTCATCATCCGTGAACTCCGCCCACAGACTCAGATAAATCATGTACGTGGTTTGAAAAAAAATTAGAAAGACGAGATGCTCAAATTTCCTTGCCAACCTATTAGCAATGAGTAGTGTCTTTCGCAGCGTCAACATCAAACTAAGAACAAAAAACACTTACCACAATTTTCTTATTGGGCAATCTGGATTTTTCTAATTGGATGCCTCTATCCAATAGTGCAATCTTTGATTGTGCTGTTTCCTTTTCTTTCTGAATGATGGCAACTGACCGCTTCAGGTAATCCGCAACCTTAACGATTCTCGTGCTATATGTATAAATTCTCAACACTTATGACTGAGTCGTTTTTAAGCTACCTGATCTATGCCAGTAGATGGAGGTAAAACTTGAATCACTTTCTTTGAATCGACAGCATCACCCATACATTTCAATAACGATCGTATGCGAGCTTCAGCATCTGTGGTCGATTTCGAATCCGAGCTGAAACATGAAGATGAACAAAAGCATAAGATCTTAAAGGCAGTTTCCCTCCAAGCGCGCCTCATTTGATTTCTTGGTAGTTGAGAAATTTAACTCTAAATTCTCGCCCAGTAGCGTACACTATGTGAGCTGACCAATTAGCGCCCTCGAGTATGGTACTGGGCGAGAGTTGGCATAAACGAATTATTTGAGCAGCGTCATGACCAATGACTCTGATATTCCCTAATCAGCATCTGATTTCAATTTTGGACGCTAATTTCAAGAAAAAAGGCAAAGCTCACTTGTCTACTTTCACATATTTGAGCAAATTGAGGCAGATATCAGGTTGTGTCCGCGAGAAATGTGAACATATGAGCTCAGCCGCATCGTAGTCGTGATAAGTAGTGATCACCTTGTCCAAAACATCAGCAGCGGATTGCTTTAAAGGTTAAAAAGTCACGCAAAGTGTTTGAAATGGAGCCATGGACTGACACTACTATCGCAAAGAAGTCTCTCCACCCCATAGGCTTCTGGAAGCCGGTTGTAGATTGCGGTTCTCTCAGGCTGGCTTAGTTTCAGTAGCAGACGTCGAAAGCGGTGACGGGAGCTGACATCTTAACAAGTACAATCAATTACTTTGATTAGCTTAGCAAAATGTACCAAAGACGGAACCTCCGCTAAGTAACTCCTTGATGTAGATTTCGCATAAATTCTTGGTTGTTTCCTTGGAAGGCGGCAAACTCTCAAGATAAATTCGCCAGAGCTTCGCATCACCTTCCAAAAGACTTTTGGTCTCCGATTGATTCAAACAAGAGCTATTCAAGATCACCTGCAAATCGAATAAAATCGAATTGGATCTTCAAAAATCTCTGTTACCTTCAGACATTCATCAGGATACTGAGATAACATCCACGAAAGGACCTCCTTTAGGAGCTCTTTCTCCTTGATACTAAAACCAGCTCTATCTTATGCAGCTAACGTACAACTAATCGTACCTAGGTATAAGGTCCAGTACTTGACCTGGTACGAATTTCGTATCTGTAAGATCCCCGCAGAAAAGATGTTTCCAGATTTCCCAAGCTTTTGCTTCTTTTCCGGCCATAATCCACATTCTCGCTGCATGATGATGATTTCCAGAATCTTCTAAGAAGGTAGCACTTTCAGATAGGTCTGCACTGTAATCCTTCACGTGAAATACTGATTCTGGATCGTTCCTGGCGACATATAACTTGAGAAGACATGAGTCGATAAACTGAAACTTTTGCTATTATGAGGTAATCCAGAAAAAAGCATAACCTACTGAGCGTGAATGCGCGGCAAATTGCAAATCGCGGATTTGCAGTAGGTACTCCTCAAAAAATTTATAGTCATCTGAATTTTCGTCATTCTCACTTGGTGGCCAAGGGAACTGCGTAGTAAGCTGGAGAATAAACTTGTAGCTGAGACAGCCCCAATAAGTTCAGATTATACCTCTTTGGGGTCAACTTCTGCAGAAATAAGAAGTTCGGCAGCTTTTTCGAACGAGCGCTCCTTCAGATATTTGAAAGCAATGGTCTTTTTAAGCTCCATGAAAGTCTGAAAGAAAAATCAGGGTTATTCCGTGTGATTGGCAAGCGAAGATAGCAAGGTATCAAAGCATTTCGCAGGACCAATCTCGACAGATGTGCTCTAGAGAAATTACGAATAACTTACAAATAAGGTTTCGTCGTCGAAATGTTGCATCAGATGCTTTTCGTACAACTGTAGTGCTTCTTCATACTTGTGATTCGATATTAACACGTCAGCCTGTGTGGGTCTTTCGTATCGGAAAAGTTCGTAAAGCCCGTTACCTGTCTCTCCAGGGATGTCATAGAAATTGTGAATAAGTCATGACAGCTAGCAGCAATAATTGAGCCATCTAACGAGCAGAGCACCCTGCCATCTTCAATTTTGAGCGTTTGCGTGATTTTCGCCTCTTCAATACTGTAAAGCAGACTTGCTTTGACAAATGCTGGATTACACCAACAATATGAGCACCTAACGATCCATATGTCTTTCACCGATCTGACGTATACATATGGAGAATTGTATACGAATACATCAAAGCATGTAGATGGAATCACTGTTGGCGGCCGGGCTGATACACCTTGCTCACTCACAGATATGAGAAGGCCATCCACACCAGCCATAAGAAAATCCTGAATTTGTAATGTACCGATGTTAGAACTTTGCACAAAGCAAGTTAGGAGAATCTGCTCCAGCATTCCAGATGAATAGATCTTAGCCAACTGAATTTGAAATTGATCTCATAGACAAGTAATGTAGAGCTAACTTTTGCTCAAGTCTACTTCGCACTTTTGGCTTCTACCTCCTACCGTAATCCAGCATGCACCTGCGACAGTTTTTCACGAGTTCATGCAAATATTTTGGATTGCGCTTACTGAGAGTGCGCTTACAAAGAATTATAAGCCTTCGTGGCAATGCCGAATCGTTCGGCGCCCAATCGTGCGATGTATGGACGATGCGTTATGGATACAATTTTGACCAGCTTTTAGAATAATTTTACACTGCAGCCAACCGGGAGACGGTCATGACTCATGAGGCGCGATTTCTCCGGCTGTCACCAACTCAAAACTCCAGTTTAGTGCTACGCTAATCTTCAAAAAGTACTGAAGTGCATTAGCTTACTATCTGCCTGAGGTCACCACTTACTGTGTTTCATGGTCTTTGCTATAAAACGGACTGAAATATTCACGAATTTGTTCTCAAATGCATTTTCATGGGTTTTTGACCTTCAAAACTGATGTTTCAAATTTTTTTAGAGCATTGAGATTGCACAACGCATGTCTACCTAATATATTTTCTTCTGAATTTCATATACATTTAAAAAGTTGTAAAACACTTATTATGTGCTATTTGGTTCCAGCTGGCAATAAAAATCGGCCTCTTGACATACACCCCAGTCAAGCGAGGTAAGATCTTGTAGAGAAATGTAATGAACTGGAAGAAAATTTCTGTTACACTCTTCTGTTCCGAAAAATTCAAAGAGCTTGAGAATATCAAAAGATGGGTTGTGTCTTCCCCATCGAAAACTTGCATAATTTTCTAAAATTCTCTAATTTTTGTAAACCACGTGGAAAATGATGGAGAAAGCTAAAAAAGACTTCTAACAATGAAGAACTTCCCCATGTTGAAATGCCATCGTCCCCGCATCTGATTCCCAGATCCACTCATCAAAAAGAAAATGTAGCTGTAGCAGGAAACCCGTCAAACGATACTGAGTACCGGCCTTCTCTTCTCCTCATTTTTCTGCACCAAAAGATCATACCGTTTCGACGCTACATATGCAAGGTTTTACAGCTTCCGAATCGAATGGAAACAATGGCATAAGTTCTTTTCTATCCATGTAGTAGATATTGTACATTCCAGTAGAGGCAAAACATATTGTGAGCCTAAAAAATAGAAGCTTCCATCACCAAGACAAGGTCTGTTTTCACGGTAAAGCTCCTACCTTGAAAAAGCCATTGCAGTGACCACACCATTAGTATTGAACTTTTGTACAACTTCCGTTTTCCCATTTCGACGCTCACAGATAAGGATTTGCTTCGAAGTTGTGGCTACAGCTGTTTGCAAACAGAATGCGTCAACCACATCCGGATTCGAATTCACGGTTACGCATTGCACACCTGAGCGATTGGACAAGATCTGGAAAAGAGGAACTGAGCCTATACCTCTTGGGCGAATTTCTGATAATTTTAACCTCAAAGGAATCCAGTCCAATCTCGAATAATATGTTATCACACAAAACTAACAGAATGTCGAGAGCAGAAGCAAACTCTATTTGTCGTACTTCTCGTTTCTGAAGAGCATTTCAGTGTCTTATCAAATGGAAAAAAAAAGTGCTCACAAGTGGCAATTCCAGATTTCCAGCAACTTTAAACGCTTTTCGATGCCGCTTTACATGGACTATTCTACCTTGGTTGGTACCCACAAATATTTGTGAAGAAGATCCTCCGGTGCTGCTTATCTAAGTCGCAATTACATTTGTAAACACTGCGTGCATAGATCGGATACGGATTACCTCCTCATTCTCATGTAAACGTGAAGCGATTTCACAGCAGGGTTTTAATTCGAATAAATCCACAGTAACGCTACTATCGTCCTCCATATGATTGTGGAACACTTCTATCGAGTTTCGAGCTCCTACCGATAAGCCACTACTTTGACCTGAAAAATCCCTATCAGTCGTGAGGTAAAGATTACACTGATTAACAATAAGGAAATCAGAGCTTTCATGTGTAGCATGTATGAGGCCTCGTTCTATGGCCATTACCCGCGGATATCAAAAGGAAGCTTCAAGTGTACTGACTGAGATGAACCCTAAACTGAGCACTAGCCGGAAACAAGCTCGCCATAGGCTCATAACATACCGCACCAGCATGTACTAGGTCCTAAGCTCGAACCGGTTCGATGAGCCGGTCCTTCGAAATTGCCGAGTCAAACGGGTCCACGCGGCTTTTGGCACGCAAAACTAGGTTGCTAATTCGACTTTTTGCAAAGTCTGATTCGCCTGACAAGTGTATCTGCGACCCATGATCTAGCCCAAAAAGTGCTCAAAAGGTTTGCTTTTTTGCGTAAACAGCGCCAAAAAGTGATGAACGCGTATATAGCCGATTTGGCAAGGTTTTAGACTTTTGAGGCTCAAAATCGTGCCAACTCTAGGGTAGGTTGGAACTTGGTTGAAAAACGACACGAAAATGCAAAGATTTTCCGAGCGCCAAACAAAATATCTATCGAAAGAGCTTATTTTATCTCAAAGTCTTGGTAAAAACTAGGTAGAGTGCGTAAACCACAGAAGATCAGACGTTTTCGGAGCGCAATGACTCCAAAGGCATTTAGAGCCACCTGAAAAGAGTAACGCTCCTCTTTTTAAACTGTAGTCACTTCAGTGTGTAGCAAATATCTCAGACTTTGTTACTGTAATTCTACAAAAAATTTGGACTCGAAAGATTACAATCTTGAATGAAAAATGGACCTTTGTTTGAGGTGTTCGTATAGTTATGAACCGCTAAAAATTCGCATTAGGCGCAAAAGCACTCCTAAGATTAACATCGATTTCCACTCTATTTCGCGTGGTACCAGCGGCTTTTTGAGTTTCTTCCAAAAAGCCCAGAAACTTTCAAAATTTTGGGTGTTCGTATAATTATGAGCCGCTATAGTTGAGAGTAAGCAAGGTGCCTTTGAAAAGAGCATGATTTACCCTTCCTAACAAAGTTAATGCAAAGCAAAAATATTGTGACAAGAAGAACTTATGATAATCTGAAAATGGTACGACAGAACTTTCGGACCAACCTGGTACATAAGTGAGCAAGTTACAAACTTCCACGCGTTCTTTTAGAGAGTTTATTTTTCGTTTCTTCACATTTACAACTCATTGATTTTTTTTCATGCTTCAAGTGGTCTTGAGTGCAGATCCTTACATACCATCTTAAAAAGCTTATCCCTTGTTTCAAAGATTGGCGGCTGGAAGGAGGCAGTCTTCTCTAGCTTTAATTAGGTCACGAAGCTCCGCCTTCCAGCCGCCAATTCAGTTGAATCAAGGGGCACCTTATTCTATCGGATAGTACCCGCAGCTTACCCAGAGAGGGGGATTGTTGCAAACTGATAAATTTGAATGATATGCTTCTGCAGGCATTCAATAATGAAAAAAACAAAACGACTGTGAACCCTGATGCGGATCGCACTTTTCTGTTACTTGTGCAATAATTAGTAGAAGACAACTGAGCTCAAAAGCTCACAAAGAATTCAAAAGTCATGCAAGTATCAAAATAACAATTGTTGATTACAGCTACAAGTAAAAGCCACTTTCTCAAGTTCAGATATGATAGGAATGAAACTCATCTATATATAAATAAAACTCAATCTCTGTAAATTTGTTCGTATGTAAGTATGTGGCTTATAGAATCCTTTCTTTGTGAACCGATGAGGCTGAAATTTGCTCCCCTACAAATGAGGCCAGGCGCAGAAGATAGGCTACTTTTCGCGACGATTAACTGGGTCCTTCCTCGATTTATTGATTTGTTTACTTACATGTAGGAAAATGAAAGCTATATTATTCATTTCTCCAAGTTAAGTAGTAAGGGGCGGTAGAGATCATTTCATTGCGCGGTGAGGAGGATGCGGAGTCACGAAGCGAGCTGGTCAAGAAGGACAATTTCACCACGGATACTACACGTTGCTGGAACTAACTTGGAGCTGAAGCAGGAGAGGAAGAGAAAATATGATCTGAAGGAAGTGGAGGAATGGTAAGCAAACATCTTGAAGCAGAGGGGCCATTTTGAACCCTTGGACCGGGCGGGACCGGGGACCGCAGCTAGTTTGAAAAATAAAATTCGACTGACAGAATATTCGAGTCGTACTCGAAAATAAGAATAACCAAATAAGAATATCGAAACTATAGGCTGCTGCACGATGAAGGCGCAGTACCATTGGGCGCTAACTCCGCTTTTTAGCCGCAGGGCGCATGAGGCGCAGGATTTACAACGGTAATGACGCGCGCGCGCCGCGTTCGCGAACGCTCAACTAGAGCTGCTTCTGCACCTTCTTCATGCAGTAGCGTTTACTAGAGAACCCCAACTAATAATTGAATCTCATGCAGGGTGTCTCACAATCCTTTAAGCCTCGTATTTCTTCAGCTGGAATTGTACAAAGCAACACAGACACAACACATAAAATACACTTAGTGTGTGAAGATCCTATAAAACAACAAGGTATACTCAAATTTTTAAAAGCCCTTCTCTGACCTACACATAACCTCTCCGACGCATGAAGCACGCATGCACCGTGACGATTAGCTGACGTCGAGATTGTCTCACACCTTCTAAGGCAGGCGTTCCAGACTGTTCAAAATTTAGCACGTGTTAAAGCAAGCCTTGCTTTCCATGACAGTACAAGTAAACTCAAAAACACCGGGCGATATAAACCACACTAATTAGAGAAGTATATCGGTGAAATTTAGTAGAAGTGCCAAAATGTAGCAGTCAAGTGCTTGAGATCATCAGAAAACAATTACCAATTATGGTGTACCCGGAGTGACTCTAAAATAATATTCTGGTAAAATACGCAGGGCATACAGCTAAAGTCAGTGACAGATTCATTTGATGTCAAAGTTCAGTTTCTTCGGGTTTTTGCCACCGAGAACTTTTCTTCTCAATGGCATGCCACTACTTTGAGTATTTGTGTCTTATTACAATGATGAACAAAGACTGGTAATTGCTTTTACACAATAAATGTAGAGTGAAGCTAGCTCTACAATATGCAACTCGCTGTTCTGCAAGATCTTGAAAGGAAAAAGAGCTATATATGTCTGAACAGCGGGTACGTTTCCATTAGCTTGACCTCATAATCAAAGTACTGTACCAAACAGTATCTTGCGAATGTACATTGCAAACTAAATGATTTTGTGTGCTGTTATTGGCAAGCAGAAAAGGAACTCATATGGAGACTTATACCGAAAAGCGAGGAGTACTAACAAGGTTATTACGTTGGAGACTTAGGCTTAGAGACTTTTGGGACACCCTACTATATATTAGCTGAATTGTCTTGTCTGTATATGTCTGCATGTGTGTACCAGTGGCGGATCAAAGGGCGTGCCCCCCCCCCCCTAAAGATGTATCGCTTTCAAAAATACCTGTATGAATTATAAAAATGTGAGAATAACTTATTCATACTTGCGAGTAATAAACTGGTTTCAAAATTTTGAAATTCAAATCAGCCTTGTGAAAAAATTCTTCGGAGATTGGTCGGAGGTATTCGGTGAAAAAATCCAAAACTAATTTTTTCTGTGATGCGGTATTTATCATATAAGTTTTTGCAACATGCAAGATGCAAAAAGCTACTGTACTCAAATCTTATAAATAAAGCTGAATGTCTGTTCGTATGTCTGTCTGTCTGTCTGTCTGTACGTATGTTCCGAATGGAAAATTCCATTTCTGAACCGATCCGGACCAAACTTGGCACACATACACTTCGGGGCGGGGCGGGTGTCGTAGGCTAGTTTTCGTTGTCGATCGATATCGATTTTATTTTATCGATTTTTTGCAGAGTTCACCTACGAGGCTGGGGTTTGGCACAGGGGGGTAATCGAGCATGCTGATTGATATTAGTTTTTGGAGTTATCCATTCTTTTATCGATTTTATCGATTTTTTGCAAAGTTTAAGCTACGGGGCTAGGAGTTGGCACAGGAGGTAATCGAGCATGCTGATTACGAATACAATATTAGTTTAAACGTCCGTTACTTTAATCGATTTTCATCGATTTTTTTGCATAGTTCACCTACGGGGCTGGGAGTTGGCACAGGGGAAAGTGAGCATGGCGATTCCGGATACAGCATTAGTTTTCAGAATTATCGATTACTTTAATCGATTTTGTCGATGGCTTTCAAAATTTGGAGCTGAAGGGCTGGGAGTTGACACAGGGGGGAGGGGTGTAAGTGCGGTAGAATTTGTGCGTGAAGAAATAGCTTCGACTGTGACGCCGGCCAATCGCGCGCGCAAGATGCCCGCAGTACTGGCGTGGCTAGTTTTCACGCACAAATTTCAACGCATTTCACCTTCTGTGCAAGCACACTATATTAAGCGGAATATCTACTGTAAACATGCTGATTTCGAAAACAGCAAGGGAAAGGGAAATGAAGTGTAGAAGTGGGCACAGGGAAAGGCTGTACAGGGATAGGGATGGGACCTTTATTACAGTGTTTTGACAGGGCCGAGCGGAGCCGGGTAAGCAAGATAGTTCCCTATACATTTTGGGTGTCTACATATGACTTTGAGACAATCTGCAGCAAACGATGACGGAACGGGAGAGAACATAAGACAACAAACCTTTTGAAAAACAAGTTTAAGAAAAAGTAAACGTTGATTCAAGAGTTCTCAAACAAAACAAGATAAAGAGGAAACTTGGGATGACTTGATTAACAGTCAGAGTTTCAATTCACGACCAATCCAATTTTTCGATGACTGCCATTTTGAACCAGAGCATATTTCGCATCAAGTTTGTGTAATATAGGGTAGGGGACTATATGTTGCCAAAAAGGACCTGGGAGATACTCCAAGAGATGAGAACTTTGTTCAGTTTGCCCAAGAAGCCGACACACAGGAGGGTCGCATGCTCTCAGAAGTACACGCAGTGCACGTACGACCATCGTGGGTCGTATTGTCAGTGTGTTAAAGAATAGATTAAGCGTGGTCGGGAGTATAATAAGGTTGAAAACACTAGATATAAGAAATAGTCGACATGCCTTCAGCTTGCCCTCGGCAATGACAGTGTTTGTAAAATGGCACACAAACAAAACAGACAATAAAACGCAATAACATAGCGCAAGGAATTCTCAGATTTTCCAGTTATCTGTCCCAGTAAGCGGGCAATTATGAACGCAGCTTAAAAGTCAGGACCCAAAGTTCCGATGATACCCGCTTAGGCTGTTTTATCCAAAGAGCTCAAAATTAGTTCAATACATCAATCAAGATAGAAGAGGAATGAAATTGCTACCTTCCTCAACTTTTGCTCATCGCCACGGCGTGAAGCTGTATAAACTGGATGGCCTCCACGCCTGAAAATGGTTGTGGCAAATAAAACCTGCTGATCTGACCACACTTGCTTAACAACAAGAACAGATATTTGAGAGACCAAAACAGGTGATCAGATACTAAAAGCAGTATGTACAGAAAACTGATAGAATGTTTTGTTTGGCATCAGCTAAATGACAGTCACTCCAACTAGAGCAAATACCCAGTAAGTAACAGTTAGTCAAAATCTGCGGAAGGCTGAGATACAGGGCAATACACGTAAAGTAGATTCAAGAAATCAATCTGACAAGATTAACACATAAAAGCAGATGCAGTTGAAGGGCCGGACATGAACAAGCAATTTCAGCGTCTCGCGATTGTTCCATAGACAAGTATTACGAATCCATTGCATGTCGGTCATCTTACATCTCAATTATGATAGTTCTCCGCAGCGAGTGATGGCGAAAAACTGTCACGACCGAAATGCAAGATGATCTGCATGCAATGAACTAGTAAGGGCTCGGGCAGAGTTCACGCGATCTCATCGTCGCGATTCAACGCGACAAGATAAGCGTTACATGTTCACCGCATGCCGATCATCTTGTATTTCGGTTGTGATAGTTAGTCACGATCACGTGTTGAAAAACTATACAACCGAGATCGGCATGCAACGATATTGTTACAGCTGTCTTGTTATGTTTTGTCACGCGATTTCATTGCAGCGATGAATCGCGACGATGAAATCGCGTGAACTCTGCCCGAGGCCTAAAAGGTGTCCTGTTGGGACAAATTTTCGTAAATTTGCTTGATGTATGCCGGCCTTTAAGAAGCCAAAATAAAATCACAGTGGCAAGATAAAGATGAGAACGACGACTAGATATAGGAACTGAGGAATGTTCACAATGCTGAGATCATTTGAGAAACAACGCTATACATAAAATCATGAAAGCTAATCAGAAGAACTGACCAACACTAGAAATCCTAGAAGTGAATAATAGAAGAATAATTACAGATAAAGTCGGATCAAAATGCATCTTTCATTTGCTGGAAAGGTCTTAATGCGAGGTCGACAGGAAGTTCAACATTATACTTATGCAAACCTTCCAATAATGTGTAGAGTTCTTCACAACCTGAAAAGATTGAGCATTGTAAGGCTTCGACTTCAGCTTAACACTTCAGACAATGATAAAATCACTGTCTTACATACAATGACAGAATCATTGTCTTACATATCGAGTTAGTCTGGTTTCTAGATTAAATCAGCTTTGACAAAAAAAAACAGATTTGGAACATCAACTGACCTGTTCTTGCAACATAACTCCAGGAGTTATAACACATCTCTACTACATAGCGAGAGCGAAATATTATCCTCAAAGATATAACATTATTAGTGGCGGAAGATTCCCTTTACAATACTTACCGAAGCCATGCAGGAAGTTTCTTCTCGTTCATGGCAGCAGATACAAACGCTTTCCATTGAGCATCTTTGGATCGACGCAGACGTGCGTGCGATGACACAATGTTCTCTATTGTAGTCAGCAAAATCTGTAAACATACTTCATTTGAGGATAAAAAAGAAGTATCACTACAAAAATCTTAGGGATCGTTCATACCGCGCACAAAGGCGGACGAAGGCGCACAAAGGCGGACGAAGGCGGACGAAGCCGCACAAAGGCGGACGAAGGCGGACGAGGCCGCACAAAGGCGGACGAAGGCGCACGAAGGCATGTGTGATTGTGTGTGTGTCGAGAGAAACGAGACGAGGCGTGTGTGAGTGAGTGTGTGTGTGTGTGTGTGTCGAGAGAAACGAGACACAAGACGCGCCTTCGTGCGCCTTCGTCCGCCTTTGTGCGGCTTCGTCCGCCTTCGTTCGCCTTTGCGCGGCTTCGTCCGCCTTTGTGCGGCTTCGTCGCCTTCGTCCGCCTTTGTGCGCGGTATGAACGATCCCTTAAAGGCAGCGTCCAGGCAAATCTAGACACACGGGGTTCTTATGTGGAAAGTAATTTTGGGGCCCTAACTAAGACACTGCCCAAGCGGCAGCCCAGATGGTGAACTCACAGTTGAGATATTCGCCTCCAAACTGGACCCCGAGATCTCGCATGGATTAATGGCGCGACACGCTTGGTCCTCGCGCGAAACTGATGTGTCACGCCATGAATCCATGCGAATACGATCCCGGGGTCCAGTTTCGAGGCGAATATCTCAACTGTGAGGTCACCAATTGAGCTGCCGCTTGAGCAGTGTTTTGATTAGGCCTTCAAGATTACCATCCAAGTGAGATCTCCATAGGCCTAGATTTACATGCACGCTGCCTTTAAGTTTCTTCATGAAGATAAAAATAGGAAAGTACAGCGATTTGTGACAGACTTGGAGGCTCAAAATCAAGCACAGACACAAAAAGATATAGAAACAATCACGAAAGGAACAATAATATTACGAAAAGAAACAATAATATAAATAACGCTCTTTACTCAAAGAATACTAGCAAAAAGCTATAACTATGCATAAAATGAAAAATGAAAAGCTCACCTGTTTCGAAGTTATGCTTTTACCAGCCACATTTTCCAACTTGAAGGACTGGCTCAGTTTCCTGACTGGTGCATCTTCTAATTCTCGTCCGCTTTTCGAGCCGTAAAAGAACAGCACAACATCCCATACATGTTGAAGAGGTATGGCCTTGTTGAAATCTGTAAAGAAGCATCAAGTCCCTACAGCACCAACAACTACAGAATGAAATGAACCTACGTCCACCTCCATTTTTCGCTACAAAACAGCCAAATCCAAACGATGCTGGTAGAGAACGAATGGTAGGTGTTTCCTTCAACATTCCGTGTTCCAATAAGGCCTTCAATGATGGACAAAGTTGCCTGCGAACGACAGAAACAATTTCTTCCTCCGATCTTTCGAAGATCTCCTAAACAGGTAAGCAAGATCTGACGCTTGTTCACATACTTTAAGAGATGAGAAAAAAATGAAAAATCAACATTGTGCTAGCACTGATATACAGAGCAAAAACAGTGGATACATAGAAAAAAAAGTTTGTGCAAGACTCTATAGCAAATATCCAAAAATATCCAAGATAGTGACCACTCACATCATTGAGCACCTCCACTTCCTGAACTTCACTCGTTGAGCATGAGTTTTCGATATTTAGTAAAGTATATTTTTCCAAGACTTGTAGTGTAGCGTCAACTGCGAGCTGCAAATGTGCTCGTTCATCCCTGAACAATTAGATATCAGAGGACCACCATCGTACGAAACATACCCGTAGTGGTTGCCAATCTCCGTATTTTTGAGCTGATTTTTCTGGAAATGGTTACTAGAACCTCCAATCAATCCGAAAAATTTGCTTGACTTCGGTTTACTTGCAATGAACTGCGAAGAGGAAAGCGCCTGAACAGAGATACATACACATCAGCTTTGACGATGCCCCACATCTCTTTTAAGACGACCTTTGCTGGAGATGATTCTTGCGAGCTATTTTCCTTCTGCAGATAGCTCACAAATCGTTCCAAATCGACAATTTGGGTTTGCAGTTGTTCAACTAACTGCTGCTTTTCTTTGAAAGGATTGACAAGCTGAAAAGCGGTGCATGAAATCAGCCAAAATTGATAGCAGACTAAATACCTGCTTGAGGGCGCTGTCAACATGCTTCTGGATATCCGCTACCGACATTTTATCTAGCTCTAAGTCTAATGACATTTTTTCATGAAGTTCGTCCAAAACAGCTTTCTGATAGATATTTTTATGGAAAGCAGTTTACCTTTGAAATAAGTCTTCTGAAACGGAACTTACTTGTTTCTGTAAAATGAGAGTGCTTGGCATATCTCCTTCGCCATTCTCATATGCTATCCTTTCGAGATCTTCCAACTGCTCTCGCAATTGTTTCAGAAGTTCGTTTTGCCTTAGCAGAGGTGATTATAGAGGCGCAATAAATCACAGGGCCTGCACCATACCTTTGCTTTTGTATCTCCAGCACTTCTCCACTTTCACTCTCACTTCTAAGCCTTTTCAACTCATTCATATCTGCGCAACCTTTGAAAGCAAAGTCTTGCAAGTCTTTCAGCAAGGCCTATAACTATGAAAATAAGAAAGCTAAATACAAGAACGATAAACATGTAACTTTGATTCTCCAACTAAAGAAGAAAATATATCTTGAACCAAACCTCTTTGTCTTCTGCATTTGCTTCAGCTATTTGTTTCAGTCGGAACTGCACCTGAGCGAAATGAGAACTCAAGGAGAATAGGGAGTTATTCAGCCTCTCCTGTTCCTCTTCAAGCTGTTGGACCCGAAGGGCATCATTGGCACTAAACGGTGCACCATACAGAAAATACCGAGAAAGGCATTAGACACAGACCTTGAGCAGTTGTCGTCGCTCGAAGATAGCCGTGCAGACCTCCACTCTGTATCAGATGTAGTGTCCGCATCTAAGATGAAACAGAATTCAGTCATAAAACAAATATTCACTGTAGAAAAGAGTGTAAGGCCTAAGGCATACCTGACGCGATTCGGCCAAATCGCCGCTTTCAAGCGACTCGGCGATTTGCCAGATTTCTACAGATTTATCGTGCGCGCTTCTCGAACGCATAGGCGGGTAGCTTGTGTAAGTTGTTGCAAATGGGTCAAGTCCTGACCAAAGGAAGCGCATTAACGACGAATTATGAAGAGTCGCTGTTACGCCAAATCGCGCAGCGACCGGAATCGCGCGAGGTATGCCTTAGGCCTAAGACAGAAAAAACATAACTTGAGCGATCATGAGCTCTGGGTACGATTTAAAAAGTGAGAGAGACATGACTTTGCTAACTGCTTACTCTCTTGCTGCAGTTTATTAACTTCAGATACTCAGGCGATAGGATGTGGGAGGGCACTGCGAAAGATATGACCTTTCCTTTCCAGAATACCACAAACTTACCGTATTTCGCCAAGTTTTTCACCCAATTAAGCATGAAGAGTTGTTTTCGAAGGCTTTCTTTTCTTATTGACGCGCAAGAAACTATCGGCTCACAAATCTTGAGCGGATACAGCTCGATTAATGGCTCAATAAGAAAGCTTTAAGCAATAAGAGAAAATCACCAACAGCATACACCATTATAAACTTGAGGCGAACCTACCATCTTCCCGGTTGGCACCATTTTTGATGTCAATCAATGACTGATCGAGTCCGCCGAGACAGTTACTACTGTCGCCTGACACCGCCATATTGGCGAGGCTACAAATGTATAGAATTATGTGCAGCTGACAAAAAAACCCAAATCGTTCACGAGATGAAAGCGGTGAAAGCTAGATATGTACAGTCCCATGAAAAAAAAAATCTTTCGCAAAGCCTTGTCGAGACAACAGATATGTTGTGATGCATTTTACTTTGCAGAGAGCTCAAGAATTGATATTATTTTGGCCTCAAATGCTTGCATTCGTCGCGATAATTAACATGCAAACGCAAAGTTTCAATTTTTTGGATGTAAAGGAGTATCACGAGGATTTGATGACGAGATGCAACGTCACTAAGAGAAAATCGATGCAGTGCGCGAAATGACCTCAGGGCTCAAGTGCAGACAAGGCAAGAAGACGTGAAACGTTGTTGCGTCAATGCGTTAAAAGTGCAAGTTGTGAGACTTTTTTAGAATGTTTCAATGAGCAAGCCAAAGTAACACTGACATCCGAGAGGAAATTCGAAGGTTTTTGCCGAGCATTTCTGTGTAAAGCATATTGCAAGCGCAAAATGACGAATAATTTGCACTCTCCACACTTTAGTGAAGACTAACGCTTATTTATTGACGGCGCGCAACAAAGTCGGTGCACAGCCATAAGTGCTTTCACACCCACCTTCATCCAATCCTTGCAAAAACTGCCCATAAGAAGAGAAACCGCACGTCAATATACACTTAGCTCTTTTTTCTAATGCTACAGTAAAGGCAAAATTATTTAAAAATTCTAGTATTGTGCATGTTAACATGCTCCAATTCCGCACAGTATGCGGTTACGGCATGCCAGCGATACTCAAACTTTCTGCAAAAATTGTTTGTATTTCAAAATTTACCTTGGATAGTAGGCGTTCAAGCGTAGAATGAAGTTTCGGTGATGAAAGGTGCTTGGTTATCGAATCGAAATCTGTCTAAAGGAAGCCATATCAAATACTAAACAAGGAAAAGAATTGGGTGTGTGTCTCATATCGTCTAATCTGAGACTGGGATACTCGAGAGCACTGTTGCACATAATGTTAACAGGATCAAACGTGTTTTCTCACGGCTTGAGTGGTGAATTACCTTAAACGACGCGTTAAGCACAAGTATGAACTTGTCAGTCGGCCTATGCAAAACATTCTCGAGTAACTTATTCTTAGGATGGGTGATATCTTGGGTTGGAATGGGCGCTCCTTCTGGATTCCTGATTTATATCCAAGTGGAAGAGCGGGCTTTTTGCGACCGCAGCTTGTAACTGTTGTCCGCGTTCCAGGTCTATGGAATCTGTCAGTGGTGAAAACCCGTGAACAGTGTCTTTCCATTGTTTTAAATTCCATGAGGTGTAGACGTCTTCCGCGTCAGGTCATTCCTTGCTAGACGTCTTTGGCGGAATTTCATACCACATTTGGTATGTTCTGCAAACTACTTTGGGCCTACCTTCATGCACAAGCTGTGTTTCATATGATAAAGACACGTTCAGCATGCACCTGCGCCCCACTCAGCATGACCACTCACTGTTTTTCCGTGTCCTGCAGTTTTGTTTTTGCAGAAACTTTTTGTGGCTGTGATGACGGTTTTAATTACAATGAATTCGATGCGAATACCTTTCCAATGCTGCATATAAAGGTTATTTGACTAGCTTTGGCCTCCAGCAAATCCTGAATGGATGTCCGCAAAAGTTCGTACTTACAAAAGATGAAACACACACATGCAATTTCCTGGCGAGTGTGCTTGGCAGAAGCGTCGTTTGGTGGTGTTGCTCGTTGAGCACTCCTTCTGTATCATGGACATTTCACCTTTCAAAATCAGTTCATTAGATGCGTTGAGCTGCTGCTGTCTCTTTCACTCCTTGCAAAGCTCCGTCATCTACTAAAATTTGCTTCGGAAATGCTCTTTCTCCTCTGATTTTCCTCAACATCTAAGTGTTGTCGTCATAATGTTATTACAGGTATTGTACCAACTCCCTGGTGAAATGAAGGCAGCACCTGAATTCCTGCTTGCTTCACTGGTTGAATCCGAACTTCTGCTCAACCCTTTCTGCGGTATCGAGACACAACTGGAAAAAAAGGCCTCTTACATGCAGTCTCGTGTTGTGAGTTTTGTACTTGCCCAATCAGGTGTATATGATCGCGACTCTTTTTGAGGATAAACTTCACCTATACAATGAACAAGCAAACACCGGTGCAACTTTGACGAAGGTTCAAGAAGAAGCGCGTAGCAAGCTTGACGAGGTGATCAGACACCAGGAGTACGTTAAGGTAGTTAATTACTTCAGACTTTCCTTTCTTTTGTCAATTTTTGCCAAAGAATTGTTGCACATTTCTCTGCACAGTGCAGAAATTACTTCGTGAGCAGTCATTTCGTAGTCTCTGAAATTCTTCCATGCTTGTTTTTATTGTGACAGCGGCCTAGCCGTCCTGGAGAGATCATGAAGTCAGCACCGGCGGATTGCTGCGATAAAAACTGTTGCTTTTGCAAATGGGGTCGTGCCTTGGGTTAATGGGCAGTGGTTCTTGTGTAAAACCTGCGTCCCCAATTGCCGATCGTCATGCTTCCACCGTTCAATGATATCCCTTCATATTTATCAAGACCTGCATCATATTGATGCATTGCTAGCGCATGCAACCTTTTGAATGTAAACAAAAACATTTTGCGTGACAACAAGGTACGCTCCATGTCCACCTTGCTGGATAGATATTGATAATAGCGAGTAGGATACGCACTATACGTTATATGTTCGCTTTCTTTTGTATCTTCACACTTCAGTGAAAACCTTTTCTAGAGTTTGTAGTATTGCGAAATAAATTACATACATGACAACCATAAAAGCATATTAACACTATGCTTCAACTTTTATCACTGCAAAAATGGTTTTCGCTACATGTGCTATGGTATGCTCACAGACTGGCATCTTGCCAGTGGGAATAAAGAGAGTGGGTAAAGAAATCTAATCTAAGCGACATCCCACAATAGCTGCGACTTGACTCAAAACTCGATAATACCAATCTAACCATCCCGAATGGGACAAACTGTAGAGGGTTGTACGAGTGCCTGATGTCAGTTATAAGAGAAAGCGTGACTAGGGGTTTCTTACACGGATTATGGTGGAAACGTACATGTTGAGAACCCCATCAGTGTTGTGATGTGTCATTCTGATGGGAGCTGCAGCGTGTCTGTTTAGATATGGATTCATCTGCAAATGCTCATAGAAGTTACAGTTGAAGAGCCTTGCATATCCGACAAGGACAAGTGGATTTGGTACAACGGATATGAAGTGATACGGATCGACACATACTAATCAAGACGCAATCTCCATTCACACACTAAAAAGTATTGAAATCCAAACTTTGATAACAATTACGCGCATTGCAAAGCTTGAGCGCTTTTTAGATTTCTTCACACATTAGGTTATTGTAAAGCTCGCAAGTCCGCGCATCAGTTCCATAACTTTTGCCTTATTTTTCTTGATATTTATCGGCGCTTTGGAAGAGACCATATTCTTAATATTTCCAGCATCTTATCACGATGGTCCATCGGGATCATGTTGCTTACGACAAAGCTCTCAAGTCTGCTGATGCAATCTTGGAACTCAAGGTTGGGAAGGATTTTTTCTTTCGATGGTTCTTTCAAGTTATTGCTCATGCTTATCTACAAAAATTTTAAAAACTTGAAAAAAATTAGAAATAAATTTGATTACTCTTCAACAGGTTGCTTCTGCGATGGGTAAAGCTATCTCGCAGTCTCTTGTATATAATGAGATTATAAAGCAGCTAGCTCATCCCTCTTCTAGGGAGGCTTTTCTTTCTGGAACGAACGGCGCCATTGTATGTTCCTATGTTTTAGTTCTTTTTCCTTTTTCATACTACATCTTGCTTCAGCGTCTTTCTGAAAACGATCTTCATGCCATCCTCCGCCTGCAGTGGGCATTTTCTCCATTACATGATGGTTTCTCTTCGATCGAGGAGCTCGAGAAGAAAACGGAGGATGCTGCTAAAGTTGTTGCGGCCATACTTTCGAAGACTAATGTTGTTGTTGATGATGAAACGGGTCTACAAGGTATATTAATATCTGATTATTGTAATACCAAGCAGCGCGAATACCAGCGAGACTGTGGGGGCAAGAGCTACTCGTTGTAGGTCTTGGAGCTATGTTCGGCTTTGTTGCTGTACACTTGAAAAGTCAAAATTCTTGCGTCCTCATACTAGTGTCCGGGCACTGGAAGCTCCAAGATTATAGCAGCCCCAAACCGTCACACCGAATCATCAATGGGCAAATGTGGGGGTTCTGAACTGACCTTCCGCGCGATACAGCGGATTCCTCAGCTATTACTCAAGCGCAAAGCTGTGATATAATCCAGAACGCGAAAACTTGCTCTGAAAGAGCTCCTCCGTTACCTGGGGATTCGAACCGTGATTGCATATTTTGCCCAGGATCAGCAATCGCTTGCCATAGTCTACAATTCCTTCAAGCGCTGTGAATCCTAATGAGGTCTTATGAGTCACATAATACGTTTGAGATTAGCATTATCAGTCGAACTTCGTGGACTATAACAACTGTCGATTACCTTGACGTGGGTGGTGTCACGTTGAAATCGATGAGCTGGGAGATCGGTTATCTTACCACTCAAAGTTAGAGGCAGTCTAAGTCCCGGATCGTTGGTAAAGCCGTGGACCACTCCGATGCGAGCTGGAGGCATTCTAAACGAAGTTTCGGAAGGTAGCGGCATAACATAACTTTCCTTCCCAGTCTCATGCCGACCTTCAAAGGCAGTGCCGCGGCTGAATCTTGCTCTCCAGTTTTCAAGGTTTTTGGACTTCCTCGCCGTGCTGAACCTATATACTTGGGCTTTGCAACCCATGAAAACGGCAAAGAGCTTTCTTGAAAGCTCTCCGAGTCCGCATTTGCTAAAAAGTGCGTGTAAGTGTTCGGGGTCCGGAACGAGGGACGGGGCTCAGAAGAATAGCTCGTATTTTAAGCTTTTTAGGCCGCTTTTTCGCTCCAGACTTCACAGACAGACTAGTTGGAGATGTTGGAGGGTCTGCAATCATAACGCTGCGAAATCCCAGTAGCATCATTTTGTCGCGGCTGCCTTCAAGGCGCAAATCAAAGAAAACATCGAAAACTATTAGATTGGTGCAAAAGTAATGCTCGTTTTGCGAGTTCTCATTTTGACGTGCTATGACTTTCTTGAGAATCTACATTTCTTGATACGATCAAGACCATCAGAAGCAGCAAACCTTTCGCAATACAGCGCACATCCTCCTATTGTCATATTACAGACGGCCAGAATATTATCGATTGATATGCAGAAAAGTTTTTTCTTGGAAATTCGTTTTTGACTGATCATAACATCCTTCAAAATTCGTTAGTAAAAATGCTAAGTAGCCTATCTTGTAGCCGCAAGCCAATAGTACAAAATAAGATGGAAAGGGTTTAAACAAAGAAATTTTGTGAAAAAAGAAAAATCAAAATCCAGAATCGTCAGGTTTTCCAACATTTCTTTGTAGGCCTCAAAGTCCCACATGAAGTTTTTGATTTTTTGCGTACTGAAGAGTTAAATGTTGTTGCAAAAACTGTCAACAGGAGGCCTACCCTTATGCTTATAGAAGTGAGCAAAGTTTTGACGACTGCGTTCTTCGTAAGAAATTTATGGGCTACAGAATGATCAAAACGGCTACCCATGTTGAGGCGCTGATATCTCAGTCTAAATACGTTCTAAGAAAATGAGAAGTATGGATAATGTAGAAACATGAAAGAGCTTCTCAATAGTATGCTAAGTCTCTTCCAAAGAAGAAAGTTTGATAGAAAAAAGTTGTCCTGAAACCGGGGCTAACAAACGAGCATTACTTTTGCACCAAGCTAATAATTTTTCACCTTATCATACTCTATAATAAAGCGCAGGGGGACCATGTGACTCATGCGTTTGTCGCTATGTCTCGAATGCACCCAGGATGTCTGCCTTCCGAGATGTTGACTGGAACGCCCTTTCGTGCTCAACTCCATAAACAGTATTATCGATTAGCATTATTGTCACCAAGTAACAGCTCGCTTCATTTCAATTAGCGCATTAGGATGTGTCAACTTTGGTATCAGTTTATTTTAGTTGCCAATTTCTATAAGCTAATTGTACAAAAGCACTGCTTTACAAAGTTGTAAGTGGTGCAGCAGAAATCCCAGATGTGATTTTCCCTCATGAAAGTTCTCGATTTTGATACACCAACAGCCGTATTCTTAGTATTTGTTTCACATTTCATAATGTGAGCGAAATAGTGGGATTCTGGCCGCATTGTAACTAAAGGGAGTGTGACAGGCTAGAAAGGCTTTCAAGGAAGGAAAATGGGAGAAAACTGAAATATGGCAGATGAAGTTTCGTGAATGGAAGTCAAATCGTAAGCACTTACATAAAGAGTCTGAGGAAAGGAGGCGGGGTAGGATGGAATTTTACTTATTGACTTTGAGGTCAAGCGTAGAATCCCAATAGTAGAAGTCGAACTTTATTCGAAAACTTGGTAAAGGATGTTTGAGCAGTAGGTGCGATTTGAGAGGGAAGAAGAGGGAAATGCGGTCTCTCCTCATGAGGAATTACCGCAGGTGGAGCTTTTGGTAGAGTAGAATAGCCTGCACCTTAGCCAGCAAATTCTGTGTGGTACTGTATAAAAAGCTGAATTTTGGCGAAAAGCGTAGGCATACTTTCGATAAGCAACTTTGAGGTTACGCATTGTGATGGCAGCGTCAGCAGAAGGAGAACCCGAAAAGTAGGACAATAATTGCAGAAATATTTAAAGAGTCTCTACTTAGAAAAAGTTTTAGAAGATAATAAGTTTTTCTTTTAGAAAACTCTATTGGAAACTGTTTAATTATTTCGTTCGTAATCTTCCCCCTCTATTCTCCGTAGGTAGGTAACTAATGGGGAAGAGGCTGGGGGCAGGGAAAGAGAAAAGCAAAATCCGCTCAAAACTTCAAACGCAGGAAAATTGCGCACATGAAAGTGATATTTACGTTGTTCTGTACCAGTAGGGTACGGGGAGCTGGGGAGAGGGAAGGAAGGGGGAGGGAGGAGAGAGGAATGTACTTGGCATGGACAGAAAAAGCCTGGAGTGGAGTCAAGCAAGTTAGTGGCACGCTTCCGGAAAAGTTCTAGCATTGAGAGGATTTTGATGAAGCTAACGCAGCATGTGGCGTGCAGCTATTTGAGTCCAAGCCTGTTAAGGGCTGTTGGAGTTTCTTATGAGCTAAAGAGCTAGGGGCTAACTTACCACTCTTCAGTGCTTTCTACATAATTTTGCGTGCCTGAAAGGCATTATGCTACATGGGGTTTGTATTCTGTACCAGTAGGGTGCGGGGGGCTGGGAGGGGCAGGGGAGGGGGGGGGGGGATGGGACGAGGGTAGGGGTGGGGAAGAGAGGGACAGGAAGGTACTATGACACGGATATAAAAGCCCTGGAGTGGCTTCAAGCATTTAGTGGCACTTAATCCGAGTTAAGAAGATTGTAGTGAAGCTAAGGTAGCATATGGCATGGAGCTATTTGAGTTGTTGAAGAGTTAGAGAGCTAGAAAGTAACTTACTACTACTCTCTACACGTATATACCTAAAGTTTTTATGCTATACTTTTGGCTACGAAAAGATTTGAAGACAAAACTTCACAAGTTCTAGCCTTTGAACACTTCTCACTCCACACGCACAGCCAGTTCAAAGCGCCGCGAAGCGGCGCTTTGAACTGGTTATCGACATGAACCACCGCGCTGGTTATCACATGTGTATTGAGCATCCTAGGTTAAGAGAATGCAAAAAAGTTGTAAGGTAAAGCAACACTCAAACTACCTGCAAGGCAGTGGCGTACCCAGGATTTCGTCTCGGGAGGGGGGGGGGGCGACAAAAAAAATTTTTCAATGAAGGTGCGTGGCTTTAGCCACGCACTCCGAAAATTTTTTGGGATGTTTCCCAAAATTTTTCCGGGTCCCTGACCCCAAAATTTCAGAAAAAGGGGGCGTGGCGGCAGCCACGCCCCCGAAAAAATTTTTTTACAAGGCTAATTTGAATTTTAAAATTTTTTAAAAATTATTTTAATTATTTACAAGTGTAAACAAGTCCTCTGCACATTTTTATAATACATTTAAGTAACTTTCAAAAATTTTGCGACCCATATTCGGGGGGGGGGCCCCCCCCGCCCCCCCCCCCCCTCGGTACGCCACTGCTGCAAGGTATGTGTCGTTTGGTTTTTCAAAGCAGAAGTACAAGAGACTGAAAAAGTTGTTGAGTGCTATCAAGAGACATTCGTGTTGGCCATGCCGCCTCTTTTCGCACCACGTTCGGCTTCTCTTGGCAAATGTCAACTACCAAATGATAACTCCTCCTTTGGCTATAGTTTTCGAAATCAAGGTTCACTCAGTTTGTATACCATGTTCTAGCTCTCTAGCTCAGAATTTGCGAGAAATCTATAAATCGAATTGTTCTGTGTTGCACTCCTATTTGTCTGTAGGTATAGCAAATTTTCTGGGTCATTCAAGGGCGCAATGTCACGATGTGAACTGCTGTATGTTTCGGGGCTCATAAGTCATGGTTAATATTCAACAGACAAAGTCGAAATCACTTATCACCTTGCGCAGATCTCTTCTTGCATCAGAGCAATTGACATTGCAGACTGAATGATGACTGAGTCTATATCGCTCACTTATTTAAATTATTTCAGGGAAAGATGCATACGCTTTATTGGAATCCATCAAGACTTGCCAGTTTTTTGTGAACGGTTATTTCCTCTGCTCTAACGGAAATAAGGAAAGTCGTTTGTCCTCTGTAGCTGATTCATCCGAAAAGGAAGTGCTTTCGACTGAAGCCGATTCTCCCTTGTTGAGTGCAAATGAGGAAGGCGATCGGACGTACACGGAAAATACTGATTCTGCTCACGCTGTGACGAACGAAAGTGTTGGATTGTCTGATCACGACGAACTTAAATGTGTGGTTAATTCCGTGATTAGAGAAGGAGTTCCAGACGGAAAGCCAACGTCGAATGATGCACGCGTTCCATCCGCTGAAGCTAGTGATGGTTAGTGAGTTTCAATTGTTTAAGTTTTTTGGTGGTTTAAAATCCGTACTGCTCTGTCAGTATACGAATCTTTGGACAATGAATTAACTTCGTTAATAAAGAGCAGAAGCCAAATTTCTTGGTGAAAAACATAAATTTACTGCTGATCCTTCCCCAGTATTTTTTTCCGGGGCACGGATTGTAATCTTTCTCAGATTGGAAATAATTTCATCAGCTTCTGAATTTTCTTTACTTTTTTGCGGTTGGGCTTTTATGCGATTTCGTGGATTTGAGCAACTCCAGTCGAGTTTGTGCATGCAAAGCCTTGAATAAAACATTCATAGCTGATGTCCGTTTCAAAATATTGAGTCCAACGTCTCTCTGTCAACTGCTAATACTTTTTGGAAATTTCCGGTGTCTTTTCATTCTTTGAGCTCCCCCCCCCCCTCCAATACAAGTCACGTCGATTGCAATCCCCTAGAATCGCGTCACGATTTGCTCCTATGAGGTGGCGAGGGATGAACGAGGGTGTTTGGTTAGTCTAACTGAATCATGATTGAGCAAATACGAGTGCGGCACGCTTAGCTATCATGGATACATATAGAGTCAGAGTCTTATGGATCATGCAGTACTTCGGACTTGCGGAGACAAAACTCGACTTCCAACCAGATTCTTTTTCAGAGCACATAGAATCTACAAACGGATCTGATTCTGGAAACGGAACAGTTACTCCTAGCTCAGATGCGCAGTCTGCTTCTGCCAAGGGTAGCAAGTCCACGCGCGGCGGAAAGCAGGTTGGTGTTTGGTCTTTTTGCATTTTTAAAGCTGTGCTGATGCGTTGTGTTTCAGTTCTTCAGATATCGTAACTCTAACTATCCGAGACGATATCCCAATAAAGGTTAGTTTCTCTATCAGACGTCTTTGAGTACTTCTAAAGTCTATTCAGAGTCTTCGCAAGCAGCAGCGGAAGGGTCGCCAAGGAACAACTCCGGAAAGGTGAACGGTGAGGACCAAGTTAGGCGTCGTGGCGGAAGACAGTACCGCCGAGGCGGTCGCGCCAACGGATTTGCTCCATCGAACTACAACGAGAACGATCAGCGGACAAGAGGCTCTCGTCCGGGAGCTCGCGCCAGCTTCCAGCAGATTCAGGCTGCCAGTTTTCACTACGAACCAGGAGTTGGTCGTCGCCCTGCACCTACCACTTGTGGAATAGTGTTCGGCGGTAGAACCTAGAAAACGCATAACGGTTGCTGCTACATCTTGATTGGACATAGGATTTTCATCTTGATATACCATGATTGTGGGTTTCACTCACTAGCGGGAATTTGTTCTTGTTTCTCTGCTCGAATACGATTTTCTTCGCTCTTAATATGTGTGGTTGTCTATGAAAGCATGTGCGAGTTGTTGGGCTTTTCTACAATTTTTTATTGTTCATTCCAGCTTCTCACTTTGTCACGCGCTAAAATGTCGCGGCTTCTCATGGGTTACAAGATCTTCGATTCTGTTTCGATAAGAATATAGAATTAGTGTGATTTTACCCAAGTTTTGTCTGCGACTTCCTATTACTAATGAAGATGAGATTTTCGCTGCATCTTCCGTTTACCACAGCATCGCCGCATTTTGGGTGCTGCAATTTCACTGGGTTAATTACTAAGTATGTTAATTACAGACGGTTGCTCTGTACTGTTAATTATGAGAGCGTTGAACACTTTCGATTCAAATGGATCTCTAGATTCAAATAGCTTTTAGTCTACTAGTAACGATGATTGGGATTCTTTTTACCGTCATCAGAATAAAAATAACCATCAGAATCAAGAGTAATTTCCTATCACGTAGAACCCCTCAGAAGCTAATCACATCCATTCAGGAACACACACAAGCTAGTCATGAATGCGCATACTTCTCAATCACTGAAGATGTTCTTGAACGAAGATGTGTTCACAGATTCGAACCCATATCGAAAGATCACTTCTAACTACGTTAGGATTTTTTAGGCATGATGATCCCTGGGATATTTTCCTTTGGGTTGATAGGTCCGCGCAATTATGTAGTTGTCAAAGAGAGCCATTCTAAGTGGTGCTGATATAGCACCGAACGATACTCGAGATGAAATTCTGTGCGTTTATACTGATCGAGTTCTTCCAACTTCCAATACTGTAGTCCAAACGGTCGAAAATTGTTGTAAATAGTATGGTTGGACAATGATACACAGGGACAATTTGACTATTACAAAAATGGTCGAAAGGGGTTTAGCGTATTAACTGACGATATGCTCGTATATTCTTACGGTAATTTTGCATAAGCATTGTAGCATTCATTGTAGCTTTACTCTCATCTGCTTTTGCTTAGTCTTTGTAGATGATCCCATGGAATAAATCGGCAAAGCTATCGAAGTCAGTTTATTGAGTTCTGATTCTCTACTAGTTCGAGACTTGTAAAGAAGCAGGTCATTCTCGACAACGAACATCTCTGGTGGTGCAACAAAATCCAATCCGATGGAGATATCAAGAATTTTCACTAGGGCGCTCTTTCTCTCAGTTGTAAATGAAAGATAGCTCTTATTACAGCTCTTGTTACTCTGAAGTAAATCTCTCGTTAAGAAGTGAACTCTATGATATGGACCACATTGTGTAAACCAAACAAGTAGATAATATACGGAAAATGAGAGGCTCCCCCTTTCAATACATATTGTCCATATTTTGATGCCGAGGTTCCACTTTTTTACGGTTTCAAAGCTAGCATAATATCAGCTCAATTGCCAACCAGATCTTCTAAAGCAGTTAGAATGCTGCTTATGTGTTGCACTTTCTGGTTCCTGCTTCGTCAGTGCTCTAAAAACCTTAGTCATATTTGTTTTCCCCGCATAACCAAATACAGATTATTAGTTTCATGAATTTTCCCTTAACCAGGCGTACCTTTCGGTACGTTTCGTCAACAGAAAGAAACAAGAACCATGTTCTCAAAAACAAACAGCCGAATCACTAGGTAATTCCAATTTAAAACCATTTTCGACTTCTTGTAATCTTGTGTCTAAGCTGTCTTCGAATCATTTTTGACTAATTTGAGAGAGAAACAACAAAATTATTGCTTGCACACTCTGAGTATGCATCTCATGTTATGTACCTATAGAGGAAAAAAGATCCACGATAAGTTTTTAATAAAAGTACCAAACCAAGAAAAGATCGACACAAATGCTCCTGTCATTTTTTTTACTCGAATCTTTCGTTCACTATGAAATTTGTACATCTATCACAATAGGCTTGCACGCATATCACTATGGGCCTCTTGGATTTGCAAGTTTTCATTTCAAACTCATTTCAAGTTATTTGATGCAGAATCAAAGCGGCAGGGAAGGTTTTGAAATGTTGAAATCATTCGATAGAGCGAAGCAAGCTCTATAAGACAGTATTTGAACAATAGCAAAAGATTCGATCTGCGTGAATTAAAAAGATATCTAAAAATTTAATTACCTGAAAATCAGACTTCCGTCTCAAAGGACCCCAGTATTGCTTCTTTTACTAAAGATGCTAATTTCTGTCTCGACTTCTAGCTAGAAGAAATACAGCAATTATACATATGGTTAACTAATGTGCGATCAGTAACTTTTGTCAGCAAGTTGGAGGTTTGTAGGATTTTTATGGACAGATATTTACATTTTTTTCTCAATCTCTATATCCTCTCTATATCAAATTTTCACGATATTTGAACGCCATCTTGTAGAGCTTGCTTGACCCTATCAAATGAGTTTCATACAATTCACTACCTTCTGGGCTGCTTTAGGATAAGGAACATGGATTAATTTTGCATCAACTTAATAACTTGAATGTCCCATTATTTTCTTATTGCAGCTGGAACAACATTCAAGAATCAGTATAATAATATGAGCCAATCGTAGCTACTAGCTATCATATCTTATTTCACTGCAGAAATTTGAGACTTTTTTCACTGCCTCTCAGGAATGGAATTTGGATATTGTTCAAATTTGCTAGAGTTGTTCATTTGTTCGAACTATGTGTTTAATTGTGGAAAGCTCTATTTTGCGAACGAACCTGACCTTTTGTGTAAGTCTAGAATATAATCATGGTGAAAGGAGTCACATAAATAAAAAAAAAGAGACTGTTTGTGGAATGCCAGTATCTCAGAGTGCGGCAGGTCGAAACGATGGACTGAGTATTATAATAAAAACACTGGATGTTGATTTATGAAAGTAACGGTGGGTGAGCAATAAATAAACGAGTCATATGTATCCACCAACATGATATTCTATTATAAGATGCGCAAACTCCAACTAGAATACATTCGAGTTACTCTTTGTCCGCATTTCAGAAAATCAAAGGCTTACTTTAATTGTTTACTTTACTTTCCAACATTTTTGTATTTTGGCATATGTCTCAGTCCCTGACACCATCAAATGCCCACAGATTTTCATCGTATGTGTTGGTGTACGATATAGAGATAGCGGATGCTTTTGAACAACCAACAATTGATTTGAGGTTATTTGAGTGAATAAATTCTGATCGATACTCCCTAATCGTTATCACTCAGGCTGGCAGTTGTACTAATGGAGGCGCAGCGCGAGTAATGCATGCCTCCTCGATTTGCGACCGTGCAGCGATCAAGGCTGCCCCTCGTCTGATAAGGAATCCTATTCTCAGGACGTGTGCCGACTATCTCCTCATATTAGTCCTCTGCATAACCTCATATCACCAAATTTTATTGGCTACCTGCACTCACAATGTTGAACTGATAAGTGCAAGTGAAGTCTTTTTTTAACACATGTCCATAGGCTGCACTATCATTGTTGAAAATTGTTGCCGTTCCTAAGATTTTTGCAAAAAGGATGAGGTACCGCAGGTTATCGGAATAGAAGCATAAGCAGTGAATCTACATTAGGTCAAATTCAGTCAATAATGACCCACTGGTCAATTTTTCGTCGTGCTCAATAGCATGGCACTCCTCGTCCTCTCCCTCTTCCAGGACGCTTTCGATCTCGACTTCTTCTCTTCCTTTCTTTTTTCAACAGTATCTTCGTGCGCTATGGTGAGGAAAGCGAATAAATTGCAATTACTATAGGAAAAGTACGATCAGCTTTGGGCTACAATTGATCTGTTAGGGGTTAACTTTCCTTAGCTCCATCCTTACTAGTTCATTATAAAAAATTTGTGAGCTTGAGTATTATAAGTAAAAGCAATGTAAACCCTAAATCAAGCTGACCTATAGATAAGGAAAAAGCTGTACGGACCAAGGTCGATGCAGATTTCTGAAAGCCTCTTTCTTGTCATGTAGGTTTATACGTCCAAATGTGATGCAACGAAAATGAATTAAAGCGCATTTTGACTGGCATAAAATCATGGCGATCCGAAAAAGCTAACTGAGAGTGTAACAACAGATTAATGGTAACCATATAATATGAAAAAGTTCGTCAACTTCTGCGCGTTATTTGCGTGATTTGCGTATGTGAGTTTCAGCAAAGTCAAATGCTAAGCGATCAAGCGATAAATTCACTGTTGCACTTGTGCGGAGAAGAGAATGCTGATCGTATGACGATTGCGTGAGGTGGCTGAGGATCTCACCTTGGTTTGAACTATCAACTTTTACAGAAGTCTAAACTCACACTGATACACTTTTGGCACAACTCGAACTACTTGATAGACATCAAAAAGCACCGTTGAGTTTGTGTCCAGTTTTTCTGTATAAGGGCATTTGGAAACCACTGCGATACGTCATGTCTTTTTTAATATTTTTCCGATTATCCTCAGCATGCGTTAGTTCAAAGCATTTACAGTATATACCCTCTGCGAGATGCCTAGCCTATTCTCCTCACCGTACAACGAGTATACGCGGATCGCTGTGACATGTAGTTCTCGAAAATTGAGAATTTACCACTGTCTGATCTCATCAGTGTATGATTAGTGTGAAATGTTCTCAACTGTATCATCGTCCTGTCACCGCATTAACAGATTTGTTGCCGTCGGAACATGTTTGCTCGTTTTTTCTTGAGGCATTGCAGGATTTGGGGACGTGGCGTCTACAGCGTAGCGCCCATGCGGAGTTCTGGAGCAGGACGGGACGCTGCTTGGCCGGGGCAGCCGGCTGTTTGTTTTCGAGTGATTCAGCGTGGTGTGTTTATGCGAGGCGATGAGGGAGCGTGATACCGTAACTCGATCGGCCGCGCACTCCCTCGCCGCGCCTCGCCGCGCAGCGCACTCAGCCGGGCGGCTGTGTTTCATTCTCGCCGCCACCTATCTCTCTTCCCGATGCCTTCCACCTCTGTCGCTCCTCCCCCAGCTAGGCGCGAGCATTTCCATGCACGCCCATTTGCACTCCGCCCCTCGCATGCACTCGTGTCAATCACTCGATTATTGGCGCTACCAGATACCGATTTGTCGATTCGGAAATGCACCTCTTCGGCGCTCGAGGCTTGTCCATGCTTGTGCGTCGCCGACGCCTATCGCGGTCATCTGCCGTGGGCAGCGCTGTCGTGGCCAGCGCCATGCCTCTCCGATAAACATTTCGAATTCGGTGCTTCCACCTTTTTGATGACCACCGCTTGATTCACGGACTGACAACGATCTGCCCACGAAGGGCGCGTCTGCGTATTACGACAGCTTCGATGTGTTTTTTGTGATAATTTCTTACACCTGCGCCATGAAGCAATAACTTCTCCGTGACACTCATCAGCATTACGGTTTATGATTCTCGTAAATACCACGTAATGGTGCGCAATTGTTTACGCTTAATGAATACAACATAACCTGAGATAATTGTCAGAGTAGCTAACTGTCATAATTTGTTTGCTTTTCACTTACTTTGGCACTCGGAGACCGATAGCTGCGCGCAGTTTGTCGTGTCAACCTACTCGACTTACTTAATCGCAGCCGATCTCGCATATTGGGAACAGAGAAGAGGTCGTGTTGCGCTTCCTCTTGTCGTTCGTATGCAAGCGTTGCGACGTACATAGTCCAATAGCGAACTGTACTTTGAGCTCCTTCAACCATTTTTTCATCTAAAAGTGATCTCCAAATGTCCGCTGAATATATGAACAAATTTCGTGGACCTTTTCCGTATTGAAATAAAAGAAGCAATCAAATGAAGTTCACTTCTGCAAGTTTCGTTTTGTCTGTAGTAATACTTTAATGATGCTAATTGCATTTGTCGTATACCTTATCATCAGTTTCGCACTTTTTGAACCCCTTCCATTTTTTTACGTCTGGTCAATGCTAATCCTAGTCAAAGCCATCTACAATCCTATCTTATCTAGAGTAGTCTTCCTCCTGCAGTAAATCAACTCATCCCTTCCAGTACGAAAGAGCGCATATGAACCACACAAAACCTGAACCGTGTCGAAGTCATAAATTCACTGTATAAGGTGTTAGGCCCCTTTTTTTGGTCATTCAACAAAATCTTTATCCATATTTGTTTTTGGAGGATAGCTGTTGTCTCACTTTTCTCCTGTTTTTCCTCTGCGAAACACGTCTCTTTCTCCATAGTCACATCAGGCTATCATTCTTATATCTCTTGCAGCCCGCCCTACGACTAACCCAATCAGGTCTACCATCCTCTCAATCCTCGGTCCACACTACAATACTTAGCACATGAATTCAATTGCTATAATGATCTCCTCTAGACTTAATTTAAGGCGTTTTAGCTGTAGCGTGAAATGTCCACCAAATGCAGAATAAAAAGCCTTTTTTGTTAGAGCAGTCATGCTAGAAACCTTCGCATGCTCTCTTTGTGACTGCGTTCTTCTCCTGGACTGCTCGCGAAATTCTTCCCAAGCCACGGCAGAGAAGGATCCCAAGAAGTTCGAGTTCTGCCGCCACCCGAGGAGCAGCGTTCGTCCGCAGCAAGCTGGTGGCAAGTCGCACTGTGATTCTCGCTGATATGTAAATGAGTTTCGTATGGTACGCCCCAGGGGGCGTGGTGTGGCAGTCGGCGGAATCCCTAGTCGAACGCCGCGTTTGCGCACCGTCGCCGCGAGATAACCGCTCCTCAAGCAGTCACTCATCTCACCGTGCGATTCAGTGTGCTAGTCTGTCCTCCTCCGTGCGCCTCCCACATCCCTCTGATAAACCGACACTGATAACTCGCATATTCTCGTTCAGGCATCGGCGACGATAAGGAGCAGAGCGAAAGCGAGTTCACGGCGCGCCCATGCACCATCGCTGAGACCAAACTTTACAACGACGAGCCTCCCTTGCCTTCGCCTCGACATGAACCATCAGCCGGTTGTTGTCAACTCACTCCTCTGCTTCATCCATAACTTTCGCGGCAATCCGCAAGTTCGCAACCTCGTCGCCGAGTACTTCCCGAAGACGGCGATAGCCGAGGCAAAGAATATCCTCTGCTCGAAGGTGGCCGATGAGTCGCCTGTGCCAGAGGACGTCTTCGACCTCTACGATTTGTTGGTGACCAAAGAAGAGCAGATGCAGTTTGCTGCCACAGATCTCACCATATTACCGCTAGCCCTTCTCTCAAAGGATGAGGATAAAAATGAGATCATGCGCGAGCTGAAGACCTTGCGCACGTTTATCTCGGATGCGCTTGACGGTCGCATAGAGGACGCACCACAGTCAAGGTACGATTGTTAGACGTCACGCATCGAAGTTGATCAAAATCGTTCTAGGGAAACACCTACACCTGTCGTGCGATGCAAACTGAACACCTCTGCTTCGTCTCCCGAATTTCCCGTCGTTCACATTCCGGTTCGTTTCACCTATAGGTCGCTTTAGTTTATCTTTTACCATGAGAACAATATTCATGTCCATTCGTTGGTTCGCTTCGTTGTCTAATCCCAGTAAGTGTGTCCCTGCTGGTTTGCTGTTGTTGCGCATCCATATTGTGATGTTCTATAATAGAAAATCATAACTTTTCATATGTGAACGAAACATATCGATTGCTACGCAATCAGCTACATCGGAGGTGTGAGGGAGCAACGCAAAACACTTTTAACTCATTGAATTTGTTATCGCAAACAGTTTTTTTCAGGCATCAGTCGCATGTGAAAGTCCAAAACCACTGTTGTCTTCATCTCCAGTAAACAACAATGTCTCGCAGCAGTCGCTGCAATTGGCCCTGCAAAGGCAGTCGGTGTCGAGTCCTTCGCACTGCCACCAGTCAACGGCAAATGAGGTTCAGATTTTTCTTTGCATCTCCTTGGTTTTTGCTTGGTGAATGCGTGTGAGAGAAGAATCATAGTGGTGCAAGTGTGTACGCAGTTAGCCGGTTGAGACGATATCCTTCGTGGTTGCAATTTTTTGCCTCGACGGTTCGTCGTTTCCTGACCGCTAATCGAGTGTCCTTGCCGCGCTTAGCGTATCAGTTCATTAATTGATTACCGCTCTCTTGTGATATCGATCCGCATCTCAAAGTAACCTGTTCTTGGCCAATTACCTGTAAAGAAGCGACCAAAAAGTCTCTATTAGCCTGCTTTCTCACCAGCCCACTTTCGGCGATTGTGCTGTCGGGGCCTACCGATACCTCGTCGCAAAAAAAGCCACCCGAAGGGGCATCGTTTCCCGGTGCTTGCACATTCCCTGCTTTCCCATTTCATATTATGTGCCTTCGAGGCGAGCCAACTCTCACGCTGTATTGATTGTACGGAGTGCTATGTGCATTTCACACTGTATAAGCGTTGCAACCAAACGCCTCAATTGGGGAACGTTACCGTGCGAAAGTGACGCAGCAAGTTTCATTTTGCATTTCAATCTGCTTTTGCACTCTCGACAGTGATACACTCTGCCAGGAGGTGCATTGCCAAACTGTCCAGAATGGGCTGTCAATTTTGCTCCAGCTCCAGTCACAGTTGCGAATGTAGGTGTCCCAGGAAAAAAAACGCTGTTTTCGGTCAACAAGCGCAATCCTTGGCGTATATATGTGCTAATATAGCCAGAGAGCGTTTCATAAGATGTTCAGTTCTTTAAGAAGAAAGTAAAGAGATTTTTACCGCGTCATGTGGGTCAGCTCGCTATTCCGGGGAAGGGAGTGTGTGGTGGTCAAGTAGATGACTTGCACTTCATAGAAATCGAGCTTCCAAATTTTCAGAAAAGAAATATGATTGTCATCATACAACAGCGGATCAAAAATCTGACATCACTTTTTCAATTAACATTCGTGCAATTTTTTTCAGTGAGTGATCAAATAAGGATCATAAAAAATTGTGATTATCTGTTTCACGGGTATGGACGAGAAGAAGAATTTCATAGATGTCCCATTGCAGAATGGAAAACGAAAAGCAGGTCGAAGCCTAGATGCTACCGTGCGGAAGTTGAGCGAAAAACGAAAGGCTGAACTGGAGGAGCCACCTCCACCTCCGGCTGCCCCCTATCAACCACCTCCACTTGATCCACAAGCGTACTTGAATATGTTGCGAATGATGCAGACTCCGCAAACTTCGATCTTCAACAACGTCATCAATCAAATGTGAGAAACTAAGATTTTTCCATATCTATTTCTTGCTGACTTTTTCCTATTCTCTGTAAATACCCTACTGCATAGCTTTCTGATACTGACTGTGGGCGCTGCTAGCAAGGGCTGATGCGTATACAATGCAGTAGCGAGGCGTGGTGAAAGGCATAGGTTTGGCTGCCATTTGCATAGAGTACGCGTGCCTTCTTCGCTTTTCACTCGGAGAGCCGCTGAGTCACACATATTGAATAGCATGAAGCCGTGTGCACAACATGGACGGCACTCGGCGCGCGGAACACTGTCGGCAGTTTTGGAAGAGAGAAGCGGCAGGGTACGGGTGCTGTGTATGTTACACTTCCGGTAGGCGATTTGCTGGTAGCAGAGTCGGGTTGCTGTGTGCGGCCGTTGCGGTTACCGTATTCGCCCCATCCACGCTGACAGCGGCGGCGAGACAGCGGACTGGTGCGTGTTTGTCAAGTGATACGGTGTCGCCTCTCTCCTCACCTCGCGAGTTCATTGGCTTGTGGTTGTAAAGTAGTTCGGCATCTCTCTCACCGTCGACACGATCGAGGGGCCGTTGCAAGAAAGCGGGGACCGTCGCTCCTCCGTAGCAATAGGCGTTCGCTCCCGACCCCCACGTCAGCACTCTGCACTCAAGCTAATATGGAGCCTCCATGATTAATGTCCGGTAATGGCCAAATAAATCTCAATAAAAAAAAACTTTTCTGATAAGTGAAGGTCAGAAAGAATATTGCATCTTGTAGATGAGATGAGAAAATAGAAAAAAACCACACGTCACAACCATCTTAATTATAAGCCATGATGTCCAAATTACACTATCCTAATATTTTGACAATTCGCACTTCCTTTTGAAGTGCTAAGTTACCATACCCTAATTGTTTTCTATCAAATCATGTCGTTCGATCTTGCGCACCTATAGATGCGCGCTGATTGGTACAGCCTAAAAACTTGTAAAAGTTGTCCACAATTAACTCCATATATGCGAGAAAAAAGTATTAAGTAAAGTATCTGAGAGAACTCTAGACGCGGCTATATGACCTTCATTTTCTGATGAGATCCGATCGAATCCACGTCTGGCTAAATTGTCAAATTTTTGTTTGTCTTCACTCATGGAATACCAAATAACGGCTTGAGTAACTTTTGAGGTGATGTTAAAGTAATTGTGTGCGACCGTAAGCGCCAAATTAGGGTTTACTCCGTAAAATACATGAAAATTTCTGTACTAGTGGATTTCTCCAGAAAATATCTCAAAATCTTCGTAAATCTGTCAGACTTTCAGGAGCCTCAGCTCCAAACAATTGCTCAGGCTACGCGTAGTTCATCTGCTGAGCTTTGTATTTTTCTGCCAAGTGAGATCCTCTTTTCATATGGGCAAAGTCGTTCACTCTGATTATCGAGATGATAAATCAACTTTGTTGGGGGTGCAATTCCGGTTTCTTCGCACCTCATGCAATTCATCACACATTGCCAGTCTCCTTCTCGCCAAGTACACACAATATGACAATCGATTGTTGAACTGCTCTTTGAGTATCATCTTCAGAGCTTAGGTAAATGTTTTGAAAACAGTCTATCTTGTGGGATTGTGCAGATTTTGGTGCGCTTGGATTTAAATTCAGTTGTGCATTGCTATAAGCGATCTATATAGAGTAAACCTTTCTATATCACTCTCGAAGAGAGGTGTACAAATTTTTAGAGGTGTAAAATCACGTGACAATCCTGATGTGCGGGAATTCTCGAGGTTCCGACTGCATTGCTCATCCTTCTGCACTTGCAGCTTCTGTGAATTAGAGGCTCGGTAACAGTCACTTCCTCTAGAGTACGGTCCCGGTTTCGCATAATCGTCTCCCCCTGGATTGGGCTCAGCACTCTCGATTATATCTCTCACTGATTTCTTAAGAAAAATGCGGACGACTGTCTACTTGCTTTGCGGGAAAAAACGAGCGCATACGCACCGCGTTGGTATGAGGAATTTGTTGACATGCACACGAACCTGATTGATAACGATTTGTCTAATGACTCTCGGAACCTCGGTCAAAAAGGAGAACGAGATAGAGGAAGGCTGAGAGAGTTAGCACGCGGAGAAAGACAGAGCGACCGTTAGAGGAAGGTGGTGAGAGAGGAAGGGAAGCGACGGATGAAGTGAGTGAAACCCGCTCATTGGTGGCGCGCAGACACAGGATAGGAGCCAGATCGCGCAATAGAGTGAACCGTCGAGGCAATCCACATGCTTGTATTGATCACACGCTTTGTCTACACGGGGATAATCTGATAAAACTTCTCCAGTGACATTGAGAAACCTAAAAATCTGTTTGCACTAATTGGCGCTGTAATTGCCGGTGTAGAGAGAGAGTGAAGAGTTTACTTTTTAGAAGAATGAATGGTCAAATGGAATGTGACAATTTCGAGGACCGTGTCGATGACTTGGCTGATGACGGCGACAGCTCGCCGTCTCCTTCCGAAGACACCAAGTACGACTTCCCCCTGACTGAAATGAGCTACGACAACGATTCTGGTCAGTATATATTCTCTTCCTTCGAAGCTGGTAGATGACCTCCTATGCACATACTTTCCCGCCTTGTCAATGCAGAGGGACTATCCAGACAGTGCATGAAAGCGATCAGATCTCAGTTCGCGAAGTGAATAGTTTTTCTCAAGGCTAGGATAAATTCGTGCCGGTAGCGCACTTCGAGGCTGGGTCTGAAATGTAGGTGTACAGGTGCGATTTCAATCTCTCGGCGGTGGACCTCTCTTGGTGAGATGTTATCACGGGAGTGGATGAGGGCATGGGAGGTCATCCACCCGCTCTCTGTCATCAATCTCTCACAGAACACCGAGAAAATGGGGACGATGAAGGGAGTTACGACCTCGAACTGGCGAGAGGCGAACTCACAGGGCTCACTGCCAAGATTTTTCCGATATGTCATAATTTATTTTTCAGATAAGCCATTTATCTGTGAACACGCCAACTGCAATAAAAGATTTGCGAACAAGTTCCTTTTGAAGAAACATCAGTTTATCCATACGGGACTACGACCACATACGTGTCCTTATTGCAGTAAACGGTAGGATACCTACATTTTAAAAGCTGTGAGACTTTGTAGTAATGCAAAATCATAAGCATTGTTGCATCCTGCGTCAAAAAAGGTCGATTGACCTCCAAAGTTTAAATATTGCCTCGCTGTATATGGCTCTTGAAGTTGCTTCAGTTCAGTCAAACTCGTGTACGAACAAACTCTCCATATCAATAATGTTGCATCTGTTTGCGTGGAAAGTGCAGAATTTACTGAAATATAGAATAAGCTAAAAAAATCTTTAATTGAAGATGCTTCCTGTTGTTGTATCTGTTTACTTTTGCAAATATGTAGCTTTCAGGTTCAATCGGAAGGATAATCTACTCCGGCACAAGAAAACTCATCTCCAAACCAGCGTTGTCGAAGATCGCAGAGGTCTTCCCGAAGCATTTAATGGATTGTTTCCGGCGTTTGGAAGTACTTTGGGGCTCGATTTAAAGATGGAGGGCCTGGATTCTATAAAAATAGAAGCGCTCGATGCGTTTAGAGTTGAAAATAATGAAGACTAGTCTGCTTAAGGCAACCTACCCTAGTATTGGTCAAGATAGTCTAAAGGAGACCAGTGAAGATGTCTTCCAGGGCTATGAAATGTGCATGGAAATTTCATCTGATTGCAAGAACACAGTTCATTTCAAGGCAATCCTCTCGTCAGAATTCTTTCGTAGCGAACCATCCGCACGACCTTCACAAGTCGCTGTCTTCTAGAAAACCTTCTAAACGTCTCATCTATTTATGGAGGCTATTTATTAATTACGGTTAATCTCGGGTGACGTTCCTTGTTGTGAACGGGTATCATCCGTTCCGACGACGTAAGTGAAGGCGTTTTGTGTTATGTCTATATAAATGGATTCACTTTCGAAATTCTGGCCTTGAGTAACGTCTTTAAATCTTTACAAGATAACTCTTTTAAAAGGGTTTTATGACAGCTGTAGTGTTGTGAAATGTCAGAACTTGTCGAACTCTTTTTTGGTTTTGAGACGAGAGAGGATGCGTTGCGATGAGCTCACGTATCTGCTGAAGTTCTATAAAATTCTTAGGACCAGTGTAAGTACATAACTCTCACTCCTGTAATCAGTCCGGTTGTGTAGGGCCGTGAACAGGACGATAAATAACGCTGTGATTTGGTGCCGGTATTAGGACGTCTCGTTCGTTGCTTACCAAATAGAAAATTGTTCTCAGAATGCAGTACCCTTGTGATATATGCATTTCCTTCGTGTGGTCTTCACTAGATGTCTGATTTTTTGCTGATGAGTTACTATGAAGTGTTGTTGTTAATTTGGCGTGTAGCCATTTTCTGTTTGAACCTGTGTTGTTATTGCAAGTTCACGCTCAAGTATTCATTGAAAAGATTTTTCGTAAATTTCTATAAAAAGTGTGAACTTACAAATTAGGAAACACGTGTCTTCTCTCATCTGTGAATACTTCTCACTTGACAGTATATGTGCCTTGCCGATTCCTTCTGAGATATCATAGTTGCCATAGTTTGAATGTTCTGGTAATTTTCTGATGTCATATATATATTTATTGTGTTACATTAAAGGTGTTGCTGGTTCTTTGAGGTTATGATGCTGTTGTTCAGACGAATTTCACTCGGCAATACCGCAACAGTGACAGCGATTTCAAAGCGTTTTGTTATTCAATTGGCCCATAGAACTCGAGCAATGTTTTGGAAATCACTCGCCTTTTTTGTCCAAAAAGTGGATTTGAAGGACTTTTAAACCCTTTAAGTTCACAAACTTTTGAATAAAAAAGTGTTAGGTTTAGCGTAAGATGCGTTTTTCTGCGTTATCAAATCTGAATCGATACGTGCGCCACGTAACGAAGACGACATTTGAATTCATAACGCCACTCGCCGTCTCTTGGATGACGACGTAGGCATAGAAGAGGCAGTATGAATCTCAATCGCTGGTTCTCGACACACTCGTTGAGGGAATGAAAATATCGCAGCACTTTCGGTCCACAGTGGAAAATTCGTTTTAAGGCAAGGATGCCACCAAAAGTGAAGGCATCGATGTTCATGCACTTGATGGCAACTTTGGCTGTTTTCAGATCTCGATTGCCATGTAGAAAATTTCAGCCATAGTTCAGAAGAGTTGATCCAACACTTTTGCTGAGAAATTGAACGCAATTTTATCTGGTTGTTACGAATTGAAGAGAGTTACTAAGTTGTGACACTTCATTTAGAAATTATTCTTATGTCGCGTTTATTGCTAGCTAATATGCACTTGCTGCTGATCTATTGCTATGTTTTTTATTGCGTTTTTAAAGCACATATTTTAACTGTTTTTGTGAGCAAAACTCGAGGCTTATCACTTGATATCAGGGCGGATACTGTTACACTTTTTATTTCTATTTTTCAAAAATCTAAGAAAGTTTCGAAAATTGTTGTTTGAGGAGTGTTGACGGGATGCAAAGTTCTACCCGCCTTTACTGTCAGATCCGCGGTCCTCGAGCAAAACACCCACTTCACCTGTTGGAATACGTTTTATGGACATTTTCGTCAGCGGGCTGGCACCGTTCCAGGTGATCGGGAAGAGACCGGGCGATGTGGTATCCGGGCAGGGTATGGTGCCTAATTTCTAGCGAATATATAATAGAAGGATGGCGTAATTATGTCCGCACACGATCAAACGAGCTACATGTTGCGTCATGTCAGCGCACTTTCGCATTTTAACATGAAGAACAATTTTTAAAAATTTACAAAAACTATTTACAATCTCTCCGTATCAAATCCAGCACGATGCACACAAAAAGAAAAAATTTCGACGAATTTTTGATTTTCTTGATTTGCTTTTCACCCCTTCTTCTTGGCATGCTAGCGACATTAAAGGGCTGCCATAAAAGAGACGATGCGAGAATATGTTCCAAAAGAATTATGGGAGAGAAAAAACCCAATGAGGCGCAAAAATCAAAGAAAAAAATGACAGTTTTGAGTGTGCTTAAGTTGTTGTAAACTTGCTAGCTATTTGTGCATTTGTGGCATCAGTCATACTGTTGTGTACGCCTTGCCGTGGTCTACATATGGAGCAACTTTGAAGATTCTAGAGAACTTCTGAAGCTTTTCAGAATTTTACGAAAAAAAGTGTAACAGAAATTATCCGCCAACCTAATAGAAACGCCGAATATCATTTAGCGCCAGCGAAAAACTTCGAGCTTTTGTTTCAGGCTTGAATGTGGCGAACCGCTTTGAACCCCAACTATGCAAAAATTCTACTGATTTGCGACTTTTCTAAGACATAAGCCAAACTATTTTTAAGTCGGCCTAGTTGACTTCCGTCGAGTTCCACCCTAGACTAAGTTCTAGCTTAGCAAGCCTAGTCTTTCAAATGTAATTTCAAATGCAAATTACGGCAATTATGGTCGGAGAGAGGGCCGTAAAGGAATCAAATTTGCTTCCAGGGTAACTCTGGTGATACGTCTGGTCTTCTTGTAAGGTCATAGATGGCGAAGTCCGAAGTTGGCATTGTCGGCTACATTTCCCTACGAGCTGAGTATAATTTGCTCCCGTTCTACTTGAGATCAGGGTGAATGCTAGTAACAGCCTTTGTTGAATCTTCTGCTGTACTCTTTGTAGCAATTCGCAATCGTTATTGTTGCAGCTCACGCCGTATCAAAGCAACTTTCTAAGCTCTGAAAATTGCCAGTTCATAAGATAGCAAATGGTCATGGAGCCAATATTATTCGAAAAATGTTAAAATCAGGTTATGAAGATAACAAGTTTGTCTAGAGCTTTTTAGGTAGAAGGTGTCAGATTTGCGCGATATTTTAGTGTGGCCATGCGAAGAACTTTTTACGGCGTTTTTGATAGCATAGCATCTGCAGCCACTGTGCGAGTTACTCGGCTTGAATAGTGGCCAGCAAAAAATTATGTGCTCTTGCAGGTTCCTAACTTTCCACCTACCACTCCCTCTCATCATTAACGAGTGGGTACTCGAAAAAAAATTCAACCTATTTTTGGCGAGGGATACACTGACAAGTAAGCTGAATGGCATAAATCCAACCTCTAAGCGCCCTCAGGCCTGAACTCTCTGTGGTTGGTATTGTATTAATAAAAGTACTGGAATGTATTGATACTCGAGTGTATTTTTTCGTGTATGTGGGGGACTCAGCTTTGAACAGAAGCTTGCTTTTTGGTAGGTATTGATAATTTTTAAGTACATTACTGCCTCAGCACACAAAGCAGGCCAGCGTAGCGGTGTCAACCGCTCGCATATAGTATGTGTCAATTGGGAAATGTCTTTCCGCGTCATCCGGGCTCGCGTAGCGAACCCGATAGGAGGAACAATTTGGATGTAAAATAAATCAACGCTCTTCTTCGATTATATTTTTGTATCCAAGCTTTCCTCCTTTCGTTTGTGGTTTATACTACTGTTTCTTTCTACCTCAGCATTCCTTTATCTGAACTCTGTCATCATTCAAGAAAATCAGTGACTCATATAAGGCGTGATTAGGCAAATTGTCTCGAAATTACCATTTATTAACAGGTGGTGTGCTGTTATTTACTTCTTGATAACAGCATAATCATCTTTTTTACGGCTTTCTTCAAATTTGGTAATGGTACAGTTTTAAAATCATTTCGGTAGTGCCAGTCCAAATCGATAAGTTAGGAGCTGGCACTGTCCAGTCAAACCCGGCAAATCGATCCTTGGCAGTTGCTTGAGTGTTGATCACGTAGCATCTTCAAAGTTGAGTTAGCTGCTTCCACGTATGAACTAGGTAAGTAGGTGAGTAGGTCCCCATGCATCTCCAAATACAAACGGCAAAAATCTTCATCAGCAAGAAGAGGATCAAAAATTGAAAAGAGTAAGCTGAAAACATGGTAGATCTTGAACTGCTATCGACCGAAGTTTGGCAAAACACCCAAAGCGTAAGCTGCTGTGCAGCGCCCTGTCGCTTTACTGAGAGCGTCATCTTCATTTTTGTAATTTTTGCATCCGACTTTGTAAAAGCTATGTATTTTTACTAAATTGGCTTCAATATTCCTTGTATTCTTGGCTTTGGTTATATGCATACTTGCCATTTCAAAAACCGGTTATTCTCGACTGTTGGAGGTTGAAATGAAGAGCATGTTCATCACCCTTGTGATCACATGCACTAGAATTTGGATCTGAAGATCTCTGCAATTCATTGTACCGCACTTGGGTTAGTTACAAGTATCCTTTTCGCATGCAGCATAGAATTTAGTAAAAAAGAAACTTTTTAGAGGGCTGAAAAATGCTAAAGCTGATTCCGATGGGAACAGTTATTTAGGTGAATCAACGAGGAATTGGATCGTTGAGAGACTTTTCCGGTAAGCCTTGCGCTTGCAGCATCTAGAATTACGGGTGGCATATGTCTTTAGGGTGAAAACGAAAATTATTCAAATACTGATTTGAATAAAGTGACGCTGTTTGGTGAATCCTCAGCCGCTCTGCTTTGTGTCTTGCTTATCGCGGGCATTGTCAGTGCTTTTTTGGTGATTACTCGTAATGTTTCACTCTTCTATCTGCACTCCATAAGCAGTTGCTTTTTGCTTCACATCCAGCTGAAAACAACCAGTATTACATATCTCATATACTAAGTCGTCTCATCTTCTGCTCCATCAAATCACAAAACGCATACTTCAGTTGTTGGACAAAGACTGTACCGTATTCGATACGACTTTTCTTACTGTGCCTAGCAACTTGAGGTTGTCAATATCTTTTTTCTACTTTTTTCCGCAATAACCATTCTTCTTTTCTAATAAGTTTTGCGCCACTAGACAGAGCAAAGCGAGCTCTAGGCATCCAAATATTAGATCTAAGCTCGTTTATACATAAAGGTATAAGCCAAAATTTTAAAGAATTTGAAAACATGAAAAATCGAGAAGAAATCGTGTCTCCTTTAAAAAAAAGTCCTACGAGCTTCTTACTTGCTCATACATAATCGCCTAGTTCCCGACAAACATACTTACGTCAAATAGGCGCTAAAATACGCAAATATCGCTCACTTCTTTGCGCTAGATCTGATATCTCACAAGCAATATCTCTTAAAAGGCCAATTTGTGGCTCTACTTCCAAAGGTTCATATCATAGATTTACCAGTGGCGTACCCAGCATTTCCGTTTAGGGGGGGGGGGGAGACAAAAAAATTTTTTCGGATCAAGGGGCGTGGCTAACGCCCCTCGAAAATTTTTTTGGAATGCTTCCCAAAATTTTTTCGCGCTCCTGACCCCAAACCCTCGAAAATTTTTTTAGAAGGCTAATTTGAATTTTTAAAAATTTTTACAAATTGTTTTAATTATCCCCCCCCCCGCCCCCCCCTCATTATGCCACTGAGATTTACCTATGT